TATATATAAAAACATTGTTTAAAAATATTACATTCATGCAACTTTAAAGATAATTGCATTCAGCATACTAAAGGCATATTACATCATACATTTTTGCACATAAACACAGAAGCATAAAAGTAACAATATGATTTTGTTTATATTATCTGGTGTGAAACTTTAAATACAGTCATATTTAAAAATACTGACACATGTGGTCCCTCCCTTCTCCGTCACCATTGCAAAAGACTGTGATGGTGTTGCATTGACTCACCTTGATCTCAAACACCAGCCCCCTTTGCTCTGTGCTCTCTCAGCGCTCCCTCCCCTCCCTCAGAGTTCACCCTGCCCTGCAGTTCAAAGTGGTTTTGCCTGTCTAGCCTTGGCGTTTAATGTTTAAGTATTGGGAGCGGCTGGAGAGTGCAAATAAAATGCCTTTACAGACTCCGGGAGAGCTGTGATTCCAAATACAGTATTGTGAAATTTCCATTGTAGCTCACGGATTAGCTCCAGGGCACCTGTATCTGTTGGGCTGGATTGTTACTCACTGCTTCCACATAATGTTTTATGCGTGCGACTTAGATAAACCATTGAGAGGAAGGCCATTCACACATTATTGCCGGGACAAAAGAGGACACATGTTCGTGGGATTGGTGGCTACCTGCCTGTGTTGTAAACGGTTTGTCAAATGTTCAAAACAGGATAAAGGTCTGAATGTGAACTCCACCTGCGAGCGAGAAAAACCCACAATGAATTGCGGTTGGGCCGGCTTTCCGATTGACAGAAAGGAAACTCTACGTGCAGTAAAGGGAAAACAGCACAGCAGCCTGACACTGCTTAAATGTTTTGTGCGTGATTATTCTGTAGTCCTAATCCGTCTAACAATGTTACAAAACATTCAGACAGGAGGAGGCTTTAAGCAGTAATTGGGGGGACTTACTCTGGTTAAACTCCATCAAACACTCCTGGTTGCATCTAGCTTGTGCTTCATGAGGACTGTGGTTCGAGAAATCAAACATAGGCGTGGATTTTGTCTTAGCAACAGCATATCTATTAATTCCTTTGAATGTCAAGATGAAGAGGGAGGATTTTAAAATGAAGGCAGCATAATAGCTGCGAGTATTTCTTATTCCAGGAGAGGAAGCAGCGCAGGTGAAGTCTGAAGGGAGGAGAGACACAAAAATGGCAAAAAGTGATTACTCACTGGCAGCTCTGTGCCTGAATGGGAAAGGCATAACAGACTTCTTAATATGAATTGTGTCATTGAAATGACCTCAATCCCATCCAGACTACATCATAAACAAACCTGACTTTTGCTGCCATATCACCATGGAGCAATGTGGTGCCTGATGGCAAACAAAGCTTGTTAATTTGCTATTAATTAACTATTTGTTGAATTGAAAGTTTGTTTTATCAATTTGTCCTTCCAACTTCTGATTTGTGGAGTCCATTACAAATATTTATCCAGTACACAGATTTTCCCATTTGAGTTGTACAGTGGACCCCCACCTTCTCAGGGGCCTTTGGGACCATAACTGAAATGTGAACAGCTGAAATCCTTGAATATTTGAGATCCCCTCTAAAAATGGTTGCAACCACAGAAGTTGAAAGTTTAACTACCAAATATACCTTAAGATGGATTCTGCCCTGGTCCCTTCTGACCCCACTAGGGACAAGGATGTACAGAAAATGGATGGATGGAAACTGTCTACACGTTGATAACATCTGCTGTCTTCCTTGCCTTTTGTAGATACAACCAATCAGTGCCAAGGAAAAGAAATGGCACTCCTCGATTGGCTCCTTGACAAAAAAACTTGTCAAGTAGCATTCTGCATTTCATCTTTCCAAGTTGAATATCATTTAGAATATTTTAGAGATGCTATAAGGAAGAACTTGTGAATTTTCTGCAAATAACTTCCACTCAGCACAGAAAAAGTTGCCAATATTTCACTGTGAATCAGAAGGGATTGAGTGTATACTTCTGTAGCTCCTCCAGAGTCACCATGACAGCTTATCTGCCTCGCCTTTTCATTTCCAAAATACGGCCTGAACTGTGCCCTGGGAGATGTTATTTTATAACCTAAATCTGCTTTAAACTTCTGTCTGCTGTCTGGTCACAGGGTTTTAATTGGGGTATCTATGCATTCCTGCTTTTATTTATTTTTATTGGTAAATGAAAATTTAAATGCACATATCATGCTACATATCATTTCTTCATTGATGAAATCATGTTGTTTAAAATGTGTACTATAACTCTCATCTACCAGATTTCTGCTGTCTGCCTGCAGAGATTTCCTTTGATTTTAGCTTCTAACTCCACCCATTTGGTGCTGCCATAGACCAAAGCTAAACACTAACGTGTAATGTTTGCAAATATTCTTTGCCCCAGGTCTGCCTGAAAGATTCTTGGTTTCCTCTGTGGGAGAAACTCAAGTTCAGACCCATCAGTGCAGCTCGCTCCTTCGGCTGCATAATTCATTGCGATTTCTCCATAATTCATTTTATTCTGCGTCGCGTTTTGTCACTCGCTTAATTTACAAAGAACCCTCTTTGGCCTGTAATATTCACCTTATCATGAGTTTTATTTCGCCTGACAGTCATTTTTATGATTACTTAGTCTGAAGGAAACTTCTGAGGTCCACCAGGAAAAACACTGACTATGATGCTCCAATAATTGTAGTGAGCCTTATGTTTGACTAGCTCATCTATAAAACCAACTATGGAGGAGGACATCTTAAGAAAATCCGCCAAACACCCAAACTGAAATCCACCACTGGAAGCATTTTAGGATTATACAGCAGTGTGCCAGGTGCACACGCCATCTTTTGGCCAGGAGCTGATGATCACGATCTTATTGAGCGGTAGGTAGCCTTACCCCCTCTGGTTCCCACAAGCCTGGCACAGGCTTGAACAACGACAGACTGGAGGTCAGCCAGAGCCTGCTTTAATGAGACTGAAGCCACACCAAAGCTTGGCATATCTGTCCTCACTTCAGAGCGAACGTGCCACGCAGTCTGTGTGATGAGAGCCAAGCTTGGCCCCGAAACAGTCCTCTGCCTGTAATTCCTCTTTGTTACGAGACAAATCTTTCTTTTTCTTTTTTTTTTTTTACCTGAAACTGTTTTGAATATTGGTTTTTGTCTGAACCCATGTGTCTTGAATGCAGTGAGGGTTTAGGACTAACAGAGTGAAGCTATGTCAAACAAGACTTAATTGGTTTTGTTTTGGGTCAAAGCAGCTTTTCTATATTGCTGACTCATAAAGTCTAGTTGAATACATAAGAAAACAGTACAGGTGCAAAATGGAACATGATTATGTCTGCACTCCCCCGCCCTTCATCCTTACAATAACTTTCAAATATATTTAAAACCCTTGTACTTTCCCACAGTTTGTCACATTATTTGCAACTTTTATTGTATTTTATTTGGATTTGTGAAGTTGCAGAACAATTAGGCAGAACAATTAGGTGTTTTATATTTCTTTTTTCTACAAATACAAGCCTAAAAAATGTGATATGCATTTGCATTAATAATCTTTTTCTCTGATACCCCTCTGTCATTTAATCTTGGTAAAAATACAGCTGCTCTATGAAAGTCCCAAAGGTGTCTTTGAAAACTTCTGTCAAAAACATCTTCACGAAGACCAGGGAACACAGGTCAAGGAGAAAGTTCTGGAGAAGTTCAAAGACGGGTCGGGTTCCAAGCCTTGAACATCTTACTGAGCACTGTTCAATCACTCATCTGAAAATGTGCACTGAAAGGCACAACTACAAACCTCCCGAACACGATCAGTTAAAGTGATAAGCATTAAGGCAGTATGATAATTATAGGGACATTTTTTCATCGCTTGAGTCAGAAAAGCTGCTCAGAGTTGATATAGGAGCAAAAATCATGGACTAAAACGTATGTGAAAAGATGTGAAATTGAGATAAAGTTTCACTTTTCTGCAGGATAAAATCCATAGGAAAGCTCAGTTGAGGTTTTGATGAAAGTCTAAGAATCTATGGTAAGAGTTAAAAACTGATTTTCATATACTCCCCATCCAATGTGACTGACTTTAAGCTATGTTTGCTTAAAGTCAATCATTTCAATCTCTAGATGTTCTAAGCAGGTAGAGACAAACCTCTGAAGGCTTACAATTGCACGCCAGTTTTTTTTATTTTCGCTAGAAAATAAAATAGACAACATAGATTATTTTTCTTCCACTTCACAGCTATGCCCTGCTTTGAACCGGTCGAGCAAACACAAGTCTCATCTGATCATCAAATCCGGTCATTCTAATGGTCTCTGGAGTTCTAGGTGTCCCTGATTAGTTTTTCAATAGGATCTAAGTTAATAATATGTTGTTTTTTCTGTTGGTCTGTCTGGTTGCTTGGATGCGGAAAATGGCGCACATCAGGAGCGCACCCAAGATCTGATTCTTTCGAAAACATTTTGACTGTTTTCCATTAAAAAGATAATATCAATTCCATTAAGGTTATTGGAATCTCAAAAACTTTAGATTAGCTTTCTAAAAGTGTCACCAGTGGCATTTTTGCGCAACTTTGCGCATAGGTTTTATATTTGGTGTTTTTTTTACTTTCACATGGAATGCCAGATCAGGTCATTTCAGGCCCAAGCGACATCTCCATTTTATTTGAAGTCTTATTTTATGTCGCCGTGATACGGATCACGGCGAAGTCATCCAACACAGGTATGCGCACTGCGCGTCCACGAGTGTCTCCATGCGGAGAGTTGCTCCGGTGCACACAAGGAGAACTTAACACTGATTTCAGATCTCTGTCCAGCACTTTGCAAGTTTGTCCCTCTGCTGTGAGTAGGCTGGAAAACGGGAGGGTTGGAGACGCTTTGCTTCATAATTGATGTTTTCCCATGGAGGAGGAGTCCGCGTCCTCCGAGAAGGGGAGACTAACCGTAAGGTGGGAGAAAATCTCTTCTTTTTTTCTGATTTTTTCCCCCCTTTTTTCAGTGGGATAACATCAGGAGGGTTTGTCTAGGCGAGCCAATTAAGTCCCACCCCTGCTATAGATCGCTGCTATAATACAAAGCAGTAAAAGCGCTCGGCTCACACGAGCGGCTGCAGTTTAAACCAGAGATCCCGTGGCTTATAATTCTCTCACTACTTTTCTTTTTTTTTATATCCTCTTTCGATGTGCCCCGTTATTACCATCAGTCTGAGGCGCTCATTTCCGCACCTGCCGCGGTAAGAGACCAAGAGACGCAGGCGGAAAAAAAAGGGGGGAGAAGAGAGGAGACAAGGACATCGGCAGCTGAGATAAGACAGCAGCCGCAGCGGTGACTCTTTTTTCTTTTTTTCTGTTTTTAGATTTTTTTTTTCTTCATTATTTTATTTTTAACATGCATCAGCGCTGGACCAGAATCGCTTCTGTCGCTCTCATCTGCTTGTCCTTGGTGTCCTCCGCGGTGGGATGCGGACCGGGCAGGGGCTACGGCAGGAGGAGACACCCCAAGAAGCTGACACCTCTGGCGTACAAGCAGTTCATCCCCAACGTGGCGGAGAAGACCCTGGGGGCGAGCGGTAGATACGAGGGCAAGATCACACGGAACTCCGAGCGCTTTAAAGAGCTCACTCCCAATTATAACACAGACATCATCTTCAAGGATGAGGAGAACACAGGAGCCGACAGGATGATGACTCAGGTAAGCGCACTGAATAATTTTGTTTTGTTTTTTTGTTTTTTTTGGTTTTTTCTTTCCTGTATATTTTTCTTCCTCCTCCACCATCGCCGCGCACTGCAACAGCCTCCCTGTCAGACTGATTGCGCACGTTAGGTGAAGTCTGAACTCTTCACACTGAGCCTTTTAACTTCACTGTAAATGCAGATGCACTCTGATGCGCCAGCCTGGGACTTTCTCGCACAGAGATCCAGCTGGAGGAGTGATGTGCAGGCGGACATTCAGGACACTCGGCCTTCATTATTGTGACAGTGAATTTGAAATATTAATGCGCCCCCCCGCTCTCCCCCCCCCCACCAACCCACCCTCCTCCTCATCCTCCTCCTCCTCCTCCATCTCCTCAAATCTAAATTTGTATCTGAATGAGGCTCCATCTGAGAGCTCAGCAGAGCCTCGTTCTTTGACTCTTTCTTGTGTGTATGTGTGTGTTTCTGGATTAAGGTGATCATGTTTCGTGGTGATGCGTTTTAGACATTTCTTCCATCTGGATTGTGCGCGCAGGGGGTGCAATGAAAGATGTTGATTTCTTAAAGGGTGGGGAGCCAGTGGACGTGGACCGGTTACGCGTTTTCTGCAAGCGAGTTTTGCAGGAAGGACGGCAGATCTTAAAGCGCGACTCGATTCCTATCCCCAGCGTCTCCCCGGCACTGAGAGCTCGGCGAATTAGGAAACACTGAACATGCAGCTTTGGGTTCGTACCGGTTCAGTGAGAATAAAAATGCGACGGTAGGAGTGATGGTGGCGAAGGTGGCGCGCTGGAGTCTCTGAACTCGCGCCTTGCACCAGGCATGGGCTCCGATGAAATATTCAAATATATATTCAAGGTCTCAGCCTTCCCCACATATCCCTCCTCTCTCCTTTCTATCCGATACATGTAAGTTACCAACAGATGAGGATTAGGAAATTATAGGCCTTTGGAGGATGGCTTCTTTCCAGAGTGGAGCCGCGAGGATAAACTTTGGGGTTCTGTGGTTAATTTCCAATAGAAATTGACGTTTGAAAGGAACTTGGATGTTATTCCTGGAATAGATTTAAACACGCGTGGAAGGGAGGGTGCTAACTTCGTTAAAAGTGTTTCTACGTTACTGTGGTCTTGTGTTGCATGGTTTATTTTTCAGCCAATTTGTTAACCTGGACCACGTCTTATTTTGAAAAGCTCCAAGGCATTCTCAGTTTGACTTGAAGCAAAAGTTTAACTTCTTAGAGTCCAAGTAGCAGACCCCGATGGCCACTCTTTTCATTTACATCACATCACATAAAACTATTACAATGAGTTAACACACAGGAAAAGTGACGGTGGCTGCAGGTGACTTAAGCCTTACGTATAAAGATTTACCAGCGTGGTTTGCACTGTGCCTTAAGTTGCGCGCATTGGCGCGCAAAACTTTCCGCGCAGTTTTTAACCCAGTCTCCGGCGCTTTAGAAAATAGATATTCGGTGATAAACGCCCAGGCGGTAACTCTGGTAGATGTGAGCTGTGTCAGAATGTAGCAAGCAAGCGACCCTGTGAAGAAACTTCAATTCATTGCCAGGGAACGTGAGAACCATCCCGTTTAGTCTGATACAGTTTTGGAGGAGGATAGCTCCAAAAGTGACGGGGCAGCTTTTACTGCGGCTTCACCGCTCAGTCAGCTCCATGTGTCTCATAATAAACAGGTGGAGATGAGCATATCCTCAACTTTCTTTATGATATATCTTATTTTCCTTTTTTTTAACTAGCTGGTCTAAGTCTCTGATTTCTATTTTAACGTAGATGAGCTCGACTTAACGGGTTGAATCGCTTTTAAAGTAGGTATTTATGCAGCGTAATAAGTGAGTCGGGGAAAGAGACTGACAGGTAGCTGATAAGTGTTTCCTCTAACCAAATCATTTGTGAAAAAAGATTAAGAGGTGGGCTGCTGAGCGCCTCACCCCTCTGGAGCGCAAGAGCGCAGGTTTGCAGGCTCCCTGCTGGGCTTTGCTTCATTCATGGTGGCTGAGCAGAATTTGGCTTAATTTGCGGCACACGACCTGATGAATTAATAAACAGGGTTCAAGCTTTTTACGTCTCTTGACCAAGACAATCCCCACTCTGTGAGTTTTTCCCCTTCAACCCCCCCAAACAGATTGTATTTTTTATTCATCACATGCTACAAGTGTGATGCACAGATTAAAGGTCTCTGTGAAACCTCAAAAAATCTTGAGCTGTCCGTGAGGCTCCTCTGATATTTCACAGGTCTGTCTGTCAGCAAACTAATAACACCTCCACTTAAGGAGGCATGTCACGTTTTCCAGGACTCTGCAGGAGCAGAATGATGAAAGTCACCCCCCCACAAACACCCCATGTCTGAAAGGACTCTTTGTGATGTTTTATTTGACATATTAAGAACAGTTGTCCTGGAGAGGGCCAAGTATCTTCACTGAGTGCTCACACACACATTTTAAGGAAAGATAATCTTCATATCACCTTCAGAACCAGTTATTGATTTGAAGGAAACAAACAAACATTAGTTTGAGCATTTAGAATGTACTTATCTTGTTTAGATGGTTCCTTCTTTGATAGGGAAAAAAGGGGGGACATTTCACGCACCTTCCAGAAACCAAAGACCCAGATGATATAGGGCCAGTGAAGCGAATGCAGTGCTTTATCCATATTTCATGAGCAGCTTTCTTACCCGAGCTGTGCCCTCTGACGCTGCTGCTCACACTGAGAAATGCAAGCTCAGGATCAGAGGTGCAGTGTTTCAGCACAGCTGAGAGAATTCATGGATTTATGTGGGGATGGAGAGGCTTCACTGAGTCCAAATGTTCGTTTTCCCTTGCTACTGATATAAAAAAACAAAAAAAACAAACAGATGTATAATGGAGAAAGTGTGCAAATGAAAGTGTGGCAATAGAATCAGAAAATATTCAAGTTTTTAGTTCAATTTATTTGAATGATCTGCATTGGTTTCAGCTGATTTACTTGATTTCTGCAGAGATGCAAGGACAAGCTGAACTCGCTGGCCATCTCTGTGATGAACCAGTGGCCCGGGGTGAAGCTCCGGGTCACAGAGGGCTGGGACGAGGACGGCCACCACTTCGATGAGTCCCTGCACTACGAGGGCAGGGCCGTGGACATCACCACCTCAGACAGAGACAAGAGCAAATATGGTACCTTGTCCAGGCTCGCCGTGGAAGCCGGATTCGACTGGGTCTACTATGAGTCAAAGGCCCACATCCACTGCTCTGTGAAAGCAGGTAAGTAGGGGGAAAGATAGGGACCAAAATCAAGTCGTCATAGAATTGCATTTTGTTTAATACTGTCATTTTATTTAATACTGTCTCAAAATGTATAGGTAAAAGAAAAAAAAAAAGCATTGCTTAGTTTTATGAACAAATGCAGTGAAAATGTAACTCATTGTCGTGTAACTTGACAACTTGGAGGAAGTCGGAGTTGTAACTTGACTACTCCTCTCAATTTATGGTCATGTAAAGTATTACACATAAGTGTCTGGTTACTGGAGGTGGGTAGGGATAATTTATAGAATGGCGATTAGCCCCCTTGATCTCCCCTGCTTGCAACGTTGCATTAAAGTGGGAGCTATGAGGTGTAGACTGCTGTGCAAATGAATCCTCAAAAGCAGGTGCGGCTTAGGATTTTTTTTGGACTTATCAGATGGCCCTGCAAAGAAAAGTGAAGAGAGCTGATTAAAAAAGGCTACATTTTAAAACATGTCCTACTGGTTAACACTAGGTTTGCCGGGTAAGATGCTTTCCACGAGGGGGAATAAATAACTTCAGGGTAGCATGTCTATGCTATATTTGTACTCGAAAATTGGATGCTCAGTTTTTTCTGACAGAATTGGAAGAATAATGTCCCCTAAATTCAGTATCAAACATGGCTTCCACACATGAAAACTGATAAGGAGTGTTTACCTTGTGTTTCAGTATGAGCTCCACTTGTGAACTTTTAAACAAAAAAATAGGGGAAAACTTTAATCTTTAGCCTTGCTAATTGTTGTTAGCAAAACAACAACCAACAATGCTGGATTTCCAATCTCCAACTTGAACTTGGGTGTCTCATCATTTCCAGAGGAGAGGTTTAACTTTTGAGACAAATCAAACCATATACCATGTAGACAGGCTAGGGTTGGGGAACAAACAGTACCAGGAAGGAGTACCTGTCCCTCTCTTACCACTGGGTTTTCTTTATTATGTCAATTTGGCTCACAGCCCAGGATGTAATTCTGTCAGGGGGCAACAATAGTGCTTGGGAAAAAGAAGGTTTAATGTCAGTTGTCATTGAATTGGTTTCCCAAAACTCACTGAGTTGTCTAGTCATTGGAGGACGGGAAAATATAAACGTTCAGAGATTGGCCACTTATTTGAATTCAGATTCTTCTTATTGTTGTTTAGGGAGCATTTAACAAATGTTTTTTAAATTAATATCGACTATGAAATCGACATTCTGCTTCTGAAAAAAGGGAGATGTTCAATACTTTTTGGCATCAAGACCAACCTTATATTGTGCAGCATAAAAATCAAAACGTGTCAATAGGTCATACCTGGACTAAAGATATTCAGGGTTGATTCTTGAAACTTGTTTTCGAAAACGAAATATACAGAAACAGACTTACATTTGTAAAAGGTTGGTCATCAGAAAAATGAGGCAATTTTCTTTTCTAGATGCTTTTCTGGGAAAACAAACGCATGGTGTTTAAAAACCACAGCAGTCAATCAGGTGCAACAGGTTGCAGATTAAAAATAATTGTCTTCTGTTTAAAAATGTTCTCAAATGAGTCTGATTAATCAACATTATACGCTTCCCGGCAGTGCCAATGGTGATGAGGAAGGAATTTCATAAGAATATTTCAGGCAGTGATGTACGAGCACCTGTCATCCATTTGTGAGCATTTACCATGCAGCTCATTCCTTTATCTTACATTGCCCCACACCGTCTCCTAGTGGGAACAACAGACTGCAGTCTCAACAAGGCTGCTGGCTGTGACCCAGAAAAGCTAAAGCTTAATGGATAGGATACAACAATATTTTGGATAAATCCCATTTATTTAAAAAATTCATTATATATATATATATATATATATATATATATATATATATATATATATATATATATATATATATATATATATATATATATATATATATATATATATATATATATATACACACCACTCACAGATGAACCATCACGCTTCTCTCAGTCCACTTTATTGATAAATCCCTTATTTCTCATTCATCTCACACGTTCTGAGATCACAGTACGCTCTAGGCTGACATGTCATCAGGGGTCATGCGACTTTACAGAAAGGATTTGGCCGAACAATGTTGGCCAAATCTGGTTTGCAGTTGTCACCTCATTTCATGCTCGGGAACCTTAAAAGAAGATTAAAAGCCCCCAAATTCTGAGTAGAAAAACCTCCCTTTTCCCCCCCCTTTCTTTTTTTTCTGCATGATCCTAGAAACTGGTATGTGGAGAGCTTCCACCAAGGCCAACATTATCGTCATCAAGACTGACAACAAAGCAAGGAGAGGTGGTAGACAGGGTGGTGGTGGAGGGGGTGTGTATTGATGTTGCACAACAGCAAGCATTTAAGAGTCCGGGGGCACTCATTTAAATTCAAATCTACAACTCGAGAGGCATGGAAAAGTGGCTCCACTGAGTAAATAGTAGTTGTGAGTCGCCTATTTGTGTGAATTGTCACATGGAGGTTTCTGCACCTGAGTAAATATGGGGAGAGAGCTGGGAAAGGCGTGAGTGTTCTTTACGAAGAGTAGCTCCATCCACCAAGCTGATTTAGAATAACAATGCTTGTTCTTTATTGGGCTTTTTTTTTTTAATTAAGGATAGATGAGCCCAGGCTTTTAGGTTTTACAGGCCAAGCCAATACACATCTGACATCAAGGAGCCTGCAGGACATCAATATGCAAAATGCATACAGGAACACCAAGACGTCTAAAGGCTAAAAAAAAAAAGAAAAGAAAAGAAAATCATGGGGAATTAGTTCTTGAGTGGCTTTTGAATGACAGCTGTTTTATGACTGTTAAAAAAAAAAAAAAAGAAAATCAAGTTTCAGGCTGATACACATAGAATATGAAGGAGACCCCAAATGTGACACCTGAAGAAATTTAAGAGGAAATGATTCTGTAATTAAGGCTATGACTTTACATTTTCTAACATCATAAAACCTTCAGGTTATAGACTAAGTCAATACACATATATCACATGCATGGAGGAGCACTGAGACCTGTGGAAAATGAACAAGTTGAAGAAAAATAAGTTCTTAGTTGTTTTTGTAATGATGATTATTATATGAGATTGAGTCTTTTGATTTCACACACAAAAAAATCTGGTTTAGGTATCTTGTTTGAAGAAGCCAGTTTGGCATCAGTATAAAAATGCAAATAGGCTCAAGAAGATGTGTGAACATCAAAAGATCTGTCAAGAAATGCCTTCTTCAGCAGGTTTCATATGAAGGCTATATTATCAATTTAAATGTTGCAATTTTACAGGAACTTTCTTGTTTTAGGGCACATTTGAAGCAAAACCAAAAGAGCTTAAATATGCAAAAATCTTTGAGCTCATCAAATTGTGTCAAGACTGAAAAAAATGGAAAGAAATGTACTTCTTTTATAGTGGCTATGACATGAGTTAAAGCCTTCTGGTTTCATAGGAACTGTCAGACTTAAAGAAAACATCACTCTCCAACAAGCATGAATCAATGACTAAAGGCTGAACAAAAATTCAATAACAATTATATTTTAAGTTCTTTTCTTTCTTTTTTTTTTTTTTTTTTGAGTCAGTGTAATGACTACATAAACTTTTGTTCCAACAGAAAATTCAGTGGCAGCAAAGTCAGGTGGCTGCTTCCCGGGATCCTCCACAGTCACCCTGCAGGACGGCAGCAAGAAGCCGGTCAGAGACCTCCAACCTGGGGACAGAGTCCTGGCTGCGGACGGCGACGGAAACCCGACCTTCACCGACTTCATCATGTTCATAGACCGAGACTCCACCACCAGGAGGACCTTCCACGTGATCGAGACCGAGACGGGCCAGAAGATCACCCTCACCGCCGCGCACCTCATCTTTGTCGCCCGTGAGAACTCCACGCGGACGGCGACGTTCGCCAGCGACGTGCGACCCGGACAGCAGGTGTTCGTCTACGACGGGGAGCGGAGACGAATCGTGGCGGTTCACGTGAAACGGATTTACACGCAAGAGCACGAGGGCTCCTTCGCGCCCGTGACGGCACAGGGGACCGTGATGGTGGATCAGGTTCTGGCATCCTGTTACGCGGTGATCGAGGACCACCAACTTGCGCACTGGGCCCTGGCGCCCGTTAGGATCGCCCACTGGGTGTCCTCATCGCTGTTCATCTCCCGGCCTCGGGTCAGCGCGCACAACGAGGGGGTCCACTGGTACTCCAAACTCCTTTACAAGCTGGGGACGTGGCTCTTGGACGACCACTCGATCCATCCACTGGGGATGTCAGCATACCCAAGCTGAAAATCCCCCCCACAGGAACAAAATCAGACTGAAGTAGGACCCTCGAACTATCAGTAGAATGACATATTAAATAATAATAATAATCTTAAAATTAAAAAAAAGAAAAGAAAAACGAACAAAAAGGCCCCAGCGGAGTTGGGATATTTATTTCAGTGACTTTTCCATGATGCGTCCCCTTTCAATGAATGAATGGAGCCTTAAAAAAAAAAATCCTCTTTGAATAATTTATTCTCATGTGAACTCTGCTGCTGCTGTCACAGAAATGGATTGTGAAACGATGCGAGCAGCAAATTGTGCATAATCTATTTTTGTATATCTCAACTACAAAAAGCAAAAAAGATTTGAAAAAGGAAAAAAAAAAACAACAAAAAATATAAAAATGAATTAAAAAAAATATAACTGGACAGAGAAGACGATCACTATACATGTGCAACTGACTGTTATATTTTGGGGGTATAGAACAAACTTTGCGGGGTTCCATAAATTATATTTTTATACACAGAAATGTAAATTAGATTTGCTGCCGAATCACATTTCGTTATTTGAAATAGTGTAAGATATGAGAATATATTTTAATTTAAAAAAAAATACAGTAGCTTGGAAAGTATTGGAATTCTTGTACTGCTATTTGTTTTATTTTATTATTTTGGTGTCATGTCTGTATTTTTTGCTTTTTTGTGTGTGTGTGTATGTTTCTGTTTTTTTTTTCTGTTTTCTTCAGAGGAAATGAACATGTCAAAAAAAAGAAGCAGATTTTGACAGTTCAGTAACCATTAAAGTAGTACTGAAGCAACTTCGTTAAATAAATTAATAAGTAACTCTTGTAAATGTACTAAAATGATATTTGTTTTTTTCTTTTCATATTTTGTAATAGGGACATAGTTTTCTATGTATAGAAAATGACCTGCGGCAGATGCACATGTCTGGATAGTCTCTACCATACCAGTTAACTTTCATAACAGGGCGATGTGTCAAGAAATGTCTAGAGTTTATTATTTATATGTTTATTACAAAAACGAGATAAAGAAAAATCTTCAAACTTGCAGTTGTCTTTGTCTAAATGAGCTCCACTTAAGAAAATCCCCCACATAAAGAAGAAGCCCCTAAAGCTCGTAAGTTACCTTTATTTCTTATGTTAATACAATTTTCTATTTGCAAACTGTGTGGCGGTAATGAGCAAGAATCTGGCGTTTTGTGTTCTAATTGGATGACTTGAATTATTGGCAGAACACTCAAGAACAAAAAATAAATAAAAACAGAGAGAGAGAGAGAGAGAGAGAGAGAGAAAAGCAGAGAGGGTGGGACGAATATTGCGCTTTGAACCGCCTTTTGCATGCTTGTGAAATGTTGAGAGCCTATGTCAAATTTAACGAGCTTTGCCCTCTGCAAACAACTTCCCCAACGTGCAGACAGATTAAACAGGAGCGTGTTTGTTGTGCCACCGGTGTCGGCGGCGGCTTCAGGTCAAACACGGGCTGTAGGAAATATAGTCCCAAAATCACAGCTTCACTTAGTCCGAGCAAATCTCCGTAATCCTCCGCTATTTTCATACAGACTTATAGTACGCGTTTAGTGCTTAATGGAGCGCTTTCAAGGTGCATCTTTGTTAAATTGATTCCAGCGCCCAATTTCTTGCACGGTGGCTCGGAGGTTATTAGTCAGTACAATGGTGACACCGTGTGGTAAAATAGAGGTACTGATAATTGGAGAATGTTGAACACACAAATATATCTCACTTAACAAGAAATGCTTGCATGGCAGAAACAATCTGAGTTTAGGTTTCTACCATAGTTTATTTTATTTTTGTTGGTCAAAGGTTAAATCCACTTTCACAAAATCCACTCCAGGAAAAGACAGCATTGCTCACCCAATGGAAGAAATCCATCCTTTTACGATTGTGAACTATCTTTAAAAAAAGCAAAGAGAAAACTTCTCCTTAAAATGGATCTAATGATCTGTTATTCTGGTGATTACATCACCAGAATAACAAGAACCTGTAAGAGTTCTTGAGGAGGTCTTTATATAGAACCAGAACTCCTCACCATGAAAGAGTAAATCAGTGGTTCTGGTATGTGACTAAGATTCCTCCTGGATGGTTTCCTGCAGAGGTTTCTCACTGGGAGGAGATCCTGGGTTAGACCAAGAACACAAACCAGGCACCATATACAAAGTTTCTGACCTGGACATCCCCTTGGGGTTGCCTAGAATGGACTGGAGCGTGTCACAGGGGAGAAGGATGTCTGGGTTACTGCTCTGGATCTGTTAGCCATGTGACCTGGTCTGGATAACTGGAAGAATGAATGGATGGCCTGACTGAAATAAAATACTTTTGAGGAATTTGTTCAAATTACTTTGAGTAGCCTTTCTTTGAGATCATTCAACAGATTGCCTTAAAATATTATAACACATATAAGATCTGAATACAACACCTGCAATAAGATGAAGTGCCTCATTTTAATAGGACGGGGCAGAAAGCAGGGTAGCAGTCTGGTGCTCCTGATAGCAGCAGACAGAAAAAGTTGGTGTAGATGGTCTGAAAAGTTTGGCAATGCTCAACTTTTTTGTCCTTTCTTAAACAAATCTCACACTGATGTTAAAGACACTTTAATAATCCTTTCAGATAGTGACGTCTCAGTCGTATATGCAGCCATCACAGGTTTGAGTCTCAGTCTGTTGACCTTTGACCACAAGTCTTCCCCCTCACTCACAACTCATTTTCTTGTTAGCTGATTGTCAAATACAGACCACTAGAGTAAACACTCTCCCCCCCCCAAAAAAAATGACTAAAGTGGTGAATTTCAGTAAACAATTTGCACCAAAGTTGAAACAGAAAAGCTGGTAATCCTAAATGTGAAATAGAACATGGTGGGAATTAGGAAGTTTTAACCATACAGATTGAAAAACTGACACCTAAAGTCATCCATCATTGAGCTTTCAAAGGTAAAAAGGGCCAGTGAACCTGAGTTTCTGAGCACTGTTGCAACATGAGCAGGAATTCCCTTTTCTTCTCCCACATTGTGTTGTCCTGTTGATATTGTGAGGTGGAAACTTCAGGGAGGAGACAAAGCGGCCCATCTCTGCCGGTGCTGTGACCTTGGGTCCCCACCAGATACAAAAGCATCCGCGGAGGGCAGCATTCCTCAGAGCAGGTAAACAGAGCCGTCTCTAATCCCTCTGGGGGCCCTCAGTCTGCCAGGGCTCAACAACCGCTTTTACAAATGCTGACATTTGCAAACATGAACAGTCTGGCTTTGCTGGAAAACAAAACTCCCAGTTTTTGCAAATGGTGTTGGCTTGCTTGGTCCATCAGTCCTTTTTGCTCTTCTGTGGCGGCAGAGGTGTGTTAAGTTAGAGGGAAATGAACAGCATCAACAACCTGATGCAATTCAACAATAACTGGAAAGAAGTCAATTTTTTTTGTCATTTTGCATCTCCAAAATGACTAAAACAACCCCAACAAATAAAATATATAAATACTACTACACCAAAATAATACTAAAGGTCTTCTCTTTCTCAGATAAATTTAAAAAAATGCAAATTTATCAAAAGAATAGGTAATAAAAATTAAAGGTATGTCTGCAGCTATTCTGAAAATAGATCTGCACATTTTCAGCTCCCCTCACCATCTTCTGCAGGAACCTCTGGCCTGAGTAGTACTATGTGTGGCTTCTGTTTGGGTAGGCATGGGCCCATATGAGATTCCCAGTGTGAATATCATGACCACCAGAGGCTGAACACTGCACTCACTGAAATAACACCAAGATTCAAAACAACAGTTCTATCAAGATCTATTTCCTTTTGTTTGAACTGGTCAACAGACGTTAGTAAAATGCGACTTTAATAAAGAGTGGTTGAATGGATATTTATATGATCCAAGACGCATCATTTATGACCAGCAACTGCCCAAACCAGACTTTGTATATTGAGAGATTATGTATGTGAGAAAATCTTTGACGTTTATGGTGCATTAAGAATTTAATCAGAAAGTTAATGGTTCATTTTCCACTTCTACCAAATGAGCACTTACTTTCAAGTTGCATGCTGATCTGCGAATCATATTAACTTTAGTGTGATTAGCAATAGTGCAAAGCTAGTTGAGAGGTCGGCATGATCAGAAAAATGCAACAATTTAATTCATGAAGATTTCTTCCATCCAACTGACCAACAGCCTCCAAGTAAAATGTCCTATTGAAAACTGAAGATCAAAACCATGAAAAAATATGCATGCCAAGTTCAGAAAACCAATGATTGAAGCAAAAGAAAAAATAAAAAAGTGCATCTTTATAATTTGATTACAATTTTGTATAAATAACTTTGGTATAAATCCTTTGTACCAAAAAAAAACATTTCTCCCCAATTAGTCAATCACACATTTGCTCTGTCAAGTAGTTTATTTTCCATCTTTGCATTCCAATGTAACAAATCACAACTTTATATAAACATTTTGCAAGTTCAAATGTACATAACTGTAGAAGATTTTCCACATTCACAGCATCAGAACAATAATTTCAGACATAATCCTGGTCATTTCACATTTGAAATGTCACTGAAGGGTGTAAAGACACAACATGATGCTTTGTCAACATTTTCTATCAAAACTCCATGTTGGATTTCTTTAGTCACTGTTCGACATACAGTTCGACATCAGGAGTCCATAGAGGCTTCCGTTAAAGAGTTCGACCAAACAGTGATTGTCAAGAAGCTTGGAGGACCCTTTGGTGCAGAGAAAGCCATAAAGCAGCTCTCTTTAGAGTTACGTGTCTGCTCTGCGAGCCCAGAAGTCGTCACATAAGTGGAAACCTCCATCCACAGGGCTAACAAACAATGGTAATCCAGGCAGGCCAACCTGCTGCAATTCACTCAACAACAGAGGTGTGGAAGGAAAGATGAGAAATGGTCAAGTTTGTGTACCATATGTAAGTAGAAGAGCAAAGGAAAGAAGAGGCAGCAACAAAAGATCTGCTGCAGCTGTTCAGGGAAAAAAGGTCAACATAAAACCTTCATTCTGAGCCCAGGAACTGAACGGCTGAAAGAAAACCCTGAGTGTTAAGCATATGAAACAGCATTAATAAGACAGGAGTGTCCTTGGTCCATCAAAGTGCTCAGGATTATTCTGTTGAAGATAAAGTGCATAGATTTAATTCAGACATTACAGACAGTACTAAATGCAACACTTATTAGCTAGCCTGTGTGTCTAAAACAGTACACGAAGTGGATCATACTAAATACTAGGAATGTCAGAGAAGACCTGACTACATAAAATAAAAAAAAATAAAACTGAATAGAAAAAAAAAAGAAAATTATTCTAGGTTTACAGCTATCAACAAAGTCTAAGTATCATTTATAAAGTTTGTACAAGACAAGCCTATGTTCGAGGCATGGAACAGAATCTGACAAAAAACAAATGTATTGCTTTTTTTTTTTTTTGATAAAGCAAATCTATTGGTTTAATTCTAAAAAAACAAGGACTTGAAGAAAAGCAAGGCAATTTTAGAACACAAGTAATATTAACACGTGCCTCCAGTGAAGCAAAACAGTTTGTTACTTTATATTGCTATGTTTGAAATAAAAACATCTGAAGTGAATCTGAATAGGTTTTATGAGCTTCAACTTTTTGAAGCTCATAAAATACAAAAAACACCAACCGAAACTATCTGATCTTACTCTTATTTTAAGAGTAAGGTCAGATATTTAAATATTACACAGACAAAAAAAAAATTCCACAAATAATCCTAACACGCAGTTGTATTGACTAAATTACAAAAATGACCAAAAGAAAATTCGTTTGTGATCAGAATAAACAACTGAACATTTTCATTTAGGCCTGCCTATCCTGCTTGTGATAGAAAGAACAATATTCAGTGTTAAAGTTGTTAATGAGAGAAGATGGCAAAGACGAAGCAACTACGTTCAGCATCAGCGAGTTGAAGTCAAGAGAAGCAAAGAAACGTAAAAATATATTTAAAAGGAAACTATTTTCTACAGCATGTTGACAAATGTCTGAGCTACATTCACTCAGCACAAGAGCCAAAAATAACATAACTTTCAGCAGATAACAGGAAGGCCTGATAAAGTACAGCATTCTTTAGAATGATCAACTTTGGATTGTAAGGTAACATACTGGATTTGAAAATGTTGGCACTCTTTAGCAAATCATAGTTCAGGTAGGGAACTGACTTACCAAGAAAACCCACAAATGCTATGGGTTTTGTGAAGCTAACCTCGCTAATGTCCAATACAGCATAGCAGCTTAAAAAGTCAACCATTGTTTAAATAGTAAAACCCTGTGTTACAGAACTGAGACATTGCCACTTTTGAATGATTGATGTTTGCAACTCTATTAAATCATCTCCTTTAAATATGAGTATGCCGTACTAGCAATGAAAAATATGTTCTACTACATGCTTGGCCATTTATATGGTCACTCAGGCTTAAACCACAATAACTGCGTCTTTAATGGATGGGATTGATCTGGAAAAAAACATAAAAGAACATTAATATGACGATTACAGCAGATCTTCAGATCATCTGGATCCCGAGGCCTAACACGAAAACAAACAATACATTAGTGGTTCTGAGCATCCAACTACATTACATTTTTGACCAAAGCTGGCATAAACATGATTATCAATTAATAGACCGATTAGAACTTTTTAATAAAAGATAAGAGGAAAACAATAAACCAAAAATAAAAAAATAAAAAAAATGCACGAAGTCTATTGTAACCACAAGTGGTCTGATAAAAAGCAGTTGCTGCTGTTCAAACAGCTCACTGTGTATTTTGTTAATATGCAAAATTACTGCATCAAGTTCAACTATTCACAGTTTGTATGCAAGCAATTCTTCATTGTAAAGTACAAAAGATTTCAATGTGAATCTGTGTTTGGAATTATAAAGACATAATGTCTTATAATATTGTCATTATGAGTAGCATTGCTGATACTTGTTCCAAATCCATAGGATTTACTAATACCTTAAGGAAAATCAACAACTTAAAACACAGGAGCATAAAACATATAAAGAAAAAATCTCTAAAATAGCTCAACTTAAATTAAAGAGAATGAAACATGCTGAAGTCAGTTCAGACACAAAGAATAACTTAAATGTAAAACTTCTTGTTTACAAGAAGGAATTAGTACCCTCAGTTACTAAGATCTTAGTGAGGTAACTTCATGAATGTGCAGCTTCTTTAAAAGTAAATTATTTCAATTAAACCCAAATTAGAAAGGAAATATAACTAAAAGAGTTTGTGACACATGCAGAATGGTCAGATGTAAACAAGAACTTGTAAACAACAAGATTGTAGTTTAAGACACAAAATTAGGTTCTTCATTTGGGGTGTCATCCAGATAAGCAGCCAAGGGAAAGTTTTATCAAACCATCCAACATCCATATTTAATACTCCAATAATTCATCTATCCTTATTTCATCTAAATTACACCACAGTAAAATTATGCAGGCTTTGTTTTATGAGGCTGCACATCAGGATGTCACCACGGTAAAATCTGAATGTTAAAATGTCTAATATTCCTGATAAAATCAGTGCAAAAATGGACAATGAAATCCTTTTTTTAAGCCTAGCTCTTAAATATTTAAACCTAAGGAATATTTTTAGAAATGGTTTAATCCTGAAGTAGTAAAATCTTCCATATGTACGACACGTTGGTGAATACCCATAAACTCACAGCTTCTGTGAAGTACAAAAGATTAAAATATAACACACATATAAAGAGACGTCCTTATAAAGGCACCAGACACATGAACAGCACACATAACCAAGCACACATCTTTGAGCTAAAGTTTGACCGGCTTCACATACCAGCATGTGTACGGTATATTGGCCATGTTTTTATTAGCATTTTTTTGTTGTTTTCCTTTAAACGTTTGTTGTTTTTTCACTCATGAACAGAAATTTCAATTCTTGCTGTGACTCTAAAATAGAAACACACCACTTGTAAAAAGGATTTCTTTCTGGACAAATTAGCTCAGCTTTTACATATAAAAAAACTAACTTGTTACAACTTGACTAACACAGGAAAAGGAAAGTAATAGTCAAAAAGGATAAATTAAGAGCAAAATGTCTTGTTTACTTATATACACGACCACTAGAAGTTTAATGGTTGCTCCCTCAACATTTACTACGAATAATATTTGAATGTCACCAACTTCAGTGATATTTTTTGTGGAATACTTAAAAATGTAGTGGAGAAAGAAAGGGAAATGAAATGAGTTTAAATGTCAATTGAAATGTTACAGGAAACCCGTTTATCACTGATTTATGTATTACTGTATAAAAAGTCAGAAAAACTTGGAAAAAATATGTATCATAATAAGTAATGGAGAAATCTGGGTAATTTCCCAATAGCTTTTAACTGAACTACTTCAGCATGTTCAGATGACTGTTTGTGTGAATTCAATTTGTAGAAAAAGGTTTGCAGTTAAATTTCTTTGACTTTTCTTCTAACTAATAGTGTTAAGCAGTGACAATGATTTCAAATCCAACTAAACCACACTGCTCAGTTATAAGACACCAACCAATCAGATGACTTCAAAATCTTAGATCCTTTCTCTGGCTTAAAAAAAAAGGAATGAATGAAAGCAGTTTTTCTCCCAAAGCAATTAAAAAAATGATTCCAAATATAGCACTTGCCAACTATAAGAAATCAAGTCACTTTGATAATAATAACCTTTCTATTTTTGGTACAGCTCTGAACTTTTGACAAGTACATAATCTAACAAACAAACCGCATGTCAAAAGAAAACATTTATCTCCAATGCCAACAGCTAAAAGACTGAATTATATTCAGAACAAAAAGAAACAGAAATTCTTTAATCTTTAAATCCAGAGGACTCTGAGGAGAACCAGAAAGGCTAACAGTATTTACAAACTCCTTAGAGTGCTTGGTATTCTGAAAACTAAACCATCTAAGGATCTCTCACAGCTGCTGCTACAGTAAACATCCAATCAGCATCCAGGTCCCTTCTGTCCCTGCATTAAACATCCCCACTAGATGGCGCCATTGGCCCAAAAAAAACAACCTGAGGATAAAGCTTAGGCTGAAACCAACAATGCAACGAAAGAGATAAAATACTGCCACCTACATCAAGGGAGTAAAAATTACACCACAAACTTCTGCCTGCATGAAACCGAAGTATAAAATAAACATACTATGAGGGGGTTAAAGCTGAATAATAATTATGTGACTTTTTAAGTTTAATATAGATAACTCAATGAAGAGGGTAGCAACCATTAGTTATCCCATGATAGATTTTACCATGTCCTTTTGAGATTGGGGAAAAAAAAGAAAGTTCAAACATCAAGGGATGATTCACTGTTTAGTGTCTCTTCAATGCCATTTTAAAACTACAGACACTTGGCAAGCAGAATCAAACACATGCATGCACATAGGTACTGTCTTTGTGTTCATTTGTCCAAACTGGAGGGAGACGAATGATGAAATCGGTGGCGAGACGATGAGTGTGTTGAAGAAATAATCCTGTAGCCACGTGGAGCAGAGCTTTGCACGAGAGACTCCCACCACAGCAGAAGAAAGAGACCCTTTGGTGGATCTGCTGAGCTCCTCAGCCATCAGTCAGCGACACATCAATGTGGGACAAATCAATCATGTGCCTGTGTAGCAATGGTGAAAATATTGTTTGTACCACAGACTGCTGAGAGACATCATCATAGGCTCTATCAGGACTACTAATCATTTAATTATGTAAACAAAGATGAAAGGAAGGTGAGTATTGATTACCTATGGAAGCTCATTTGGAAACTCTCAGCATGCTGGGGATTGGAAAATTTGGCAATAGCTTTTCTCTGCTGCGGCATCATTTTGAACATCTGCAGGAGACAGAGAAGGAACGAACTGAATAGAGAGATACTCATCCAATACACAAGAGAACATGGGGGTGGTGGGGCCGACTGGGGTAATTTATTCATTAACTTCAAAATCAATCCAACAGAGGGCACTAAGAGATCACGTTTCAACACATTTCTACACTGGTGGAGAGATGAATTTCATACTCTTTGAACTCTGTCATATTTTTTCACCAAGCCTCAATGTTTTCACTGGTGACAGACCAAACATAGAGCAAAACAGGAAAATTAAAGTGAAATTAAAGGATTAGAAATCTAAAAAGTGTGACATAAATTTGTATTCGATGTTTCTGGGGAACTGAACTTTTTTCCCTTACTTTTTTGAAAAGTAACTCAAGCTCAGTCAAATTAGACAAAGTATTTCTGTGAACATCAGTTTCTAATCTTGCTACTGAAGCCCCCATTTACACAAAGCTGCTCTTTAGTAAAAACTAACATTTGTGTTGCGATCCAGCCGTTGTGTTGCACATTGCCAGTGATTGATTTGAGTCTCTGACGCGATCACTTTTGGAAACCATGTTTCAGAGAGCAAGTTCTTAGGAACAACTCCTGCAGAGGTGTGAAGCACTGTGAAAAAGCACATGCCCAGAACACATGGCTGTAGGGTTTATCTATGCCAGCACGGGCAAATAAAAACAATGGCTGATAGCATTGTACTCTATTGTGCCACGTAACTTGTTCAGCTTAATACTTCTGACAAAAAACACATCTGAATCACAGAAAAACTTGGTTCACTGGAGACGGATTACTGTTTTCTAAATTACGTGAAAGCTAAGACCTATGTTCTGACGACATGCTACAATCTCACAGCCAAGTAGTGGCCTGGCATAAAAACTACAGATGATTCAAGGTGTCTAAATGGAGAATTTGTCCCAAATCAAGATCCATATTTGGTAAAAACTAACTGAAAGGGAGAGGGCAACATGGCAAAAAATGTCAACATTTCTTTCTCCAACAGTAAAATTGTGATCTTGAGTTTCATCACAATTTCTGTGTAAAATAAATGTCCTTATATATAAGCATATAATGAATAAGAGAACTTCAACACAGAAAGTGCTCTCCAGATCTCTTCTTTGCCAGATCATCAACACAATGTAAAGTGCATCCATCTTTCAATCAGCTTTGAACAGCTCCCCTGTTTTTGAAAAAGAAAAGCAACCCCACAGCATAATGCTGCCACTGCCATTGAAGTGTTTGTTTCACACTGAAATGGAGCTGTACACCACAGGATTCACCTACTTTGACATGATTGCTTTTACTTAAAAAATTGCTTTCTTCTAGCAACTCTTTCATCAGAAGGTTTTTTCCATCAAATAAAACCCACATAAATGAGATTGATGTTTGTGGCTAAAACTAAATCAGTGAAAGTTTGCAAAATATATTTTAAACTTGAACCTTTATAAAGATGTGGCGTGTCCTACCTCTATAGGGCCGATGGACATGAGGAGGTTCTTGAGCTGAAACTCAGTAGTAGATGTGGAGAGGCCCTCGATGCACACAGTGCTGTGTTCTTTCTCTGCTCCTTTTTGGCTCTGCCTAGTGGGTAGTGGGTGACCCCGTCCCACCGGACCAGTCCCTCTACCTCGACCCCGACCCGATACAACAACCTATACCAAGCAGTGAGCGAAAAATAAATAAAATAAGGCTTGAAAAAAAAAATCTAAACTCTGCTTCTGTTGAAGATACGTTTCTTTGTGCAAAGATGCGTTTAAAAAACGTCACACATTTTTCCTCTTGTGCCTTTCAGACTTTTAACGTGATTGACTCATCACATTTCTACACAGAACATAAACGTCAGAAGATGATGCCAGGCTGCATGACATATCTTCATATGATCTTGTGTGAGAGAGAGGTATGTTTCCCCTGGTGCAGAAAGAGGAGGAGGTGGAGGAAATATGGTTATGAGTGTGTGTGTGTATCTGGGGGTTGAGGGAGCATAAAGGCAGAGCAGCCATGCAGGCGCAGTGGTGGCTGCCTTACACTGTCAGCATCTGCAAGTCTGGAACCAGTGACAAGAGCCTGGTGGTGACATGTGCACGGAGCGGCCAGGGGAGATGGAGGATCTCTGCTTGTTCTGCTGCTTTCAGCCTGTCAATACTCCTGAACCTGGCACACCGCTCTGTCCCACTGTATGATTGCTACATCTACCTAGCGCTGGCATAATCACTTTTTACAGGAGACGTTTTGGCTGGGAGTTGCCATGAAACACGAGTTTACACTAGTAATAAATACATTACAGGTAAAAAGATTCTTAGTGTCCTAAAACAAAAGAGACAGAGGTAGAGAGAGATCTCTTTCATGTCACACCCTGCTTTGCTGTGCGTCTCCCGAGCCCCCGCGGCTAGCCTGCGGTGTTCCACCTGGTCCCACTTGCTGCTGTCCCATCATGGTCACCTTCCTCTGGATGCTCTGGTTGAGTGGAGGTGCTTGCCAGGTGCCTTGCTGCTGCGCTGGGCTGCTGGTTGCCTCGGGCCTCTTTCCACTCTGGATTGGAAAAATAAAAAAAGCACTGAGTCACTAACCAAATTCTGCTTGTCTTTATTTGTGTGCAGCCCCAACATGAAGTATTTGGCCAACATTTTACACAGTAGCATTTGTCCTCCCATTATCCAAGAGCAGGATAATTCTGTGCTCTCTCAAAGAAGCACAGCATGTAGAACTTGTATTGCCCGTTTTATTAACCAATCAAAATGAGTGTTGAAACGATTCATCTGATTAATTGTGATGAATTGATTACTGAAATAACTGTCAAATAATTTAGTATTGTATTTAGGAAATACTCTGACAACTTTGAGACTGAGAGCTTTGTAATGAAATGCATACATGAGAGAAAAATAAAGTAAATAAAGATTAAAAGATAGAAACAGAACGGGTGTTAAATACAGTTTATACAAGCTCAATAAAGACAATTTTAACATTTTTTTCTCAGAAATGTTCTGTTGAAAATGTAAACAGTCGAAACATGTTCTAGTACTCTTTCGGTAACTGTTAAATATGCTTTTTTTTTCTCCGATTAATGGCCTCTACATTGATTGCTATAGTGATTACTGTACTTAGAAGTAGGTAGAGGTTCACCAATTGCAATTTTCTGTCCGATCACCAATCTCTAAGAAGCCTGACCTGCCGATTCCAATTTTGGCTGAAATTAATGACTTTTTTTGCAAGACATAGCAAAAGGTTACCAGGTTTGCAACAGTAAGGAGACTATAATTTTAGGTTGTTTTTTTTTTTTGTTTATCAGGGGGGAAAACATGCTCAAAGGATGATACAACGAACACCATGTTCCACTATGGGAATGAATACAGCGTAGACTAAAAAGTTTTATTTGGGTCTAATCTGACCAGAGCAGCTTTTCTAAACATTTGCAATGTCCCTAATATTCTAACCTGCATATAAAAAGAATAAATGTATAATTTTCTTTCCATTCTTCTATTACACTATTTGTGTTTGTCACATAAAATCCTGGTAAAATACATTGAAGAATGTTGAAAAGTTGAAGGGATATTAACACTTCTGCGAGGAACTGTATATAATTGACCAACGGTTGCGAAAGGAGCTCCACAAAAGAAACTAAATATCTGCAATCACTGGAACTGGATTTCTATCAGCCACTCTGCAGAGAATAAAGATCAACCCAACAAGGTGATGGACTCATTATGAAATAAAGTCACAGCTCTGCTGTTGACATGCGGCAAGGAATTGAAGGTCGTCCCTTCTCCGACTCTGCAGAAAGATGTGACAGATCAATACACGGGAAGAAAAGAGCCGCTATCTCTGACCTGTCCCCAGCGGAGAGTAAATGGATTAATCCCTTCTATAGAAATCACAGCTCCTGATTGCACCCATCAAATGCTAAGCTGTATTACACTGAAGCGACAGCAGCTCGATGTGTATCCCATCCCTCCTCCCGCTTCGCACACAACCATTTTCCTGAGCTTTTGTGTTTTGCACTGCTTTTGTATTACCTTTGATTAAAATATAATTTGCCTCTTATCTCTGTGCCTAAGCTATACAAATCCAAAATCCTCAAAAGTGGCAACTTTCTTACACAGGTATTATGTTATCCCCCCTTACACCTTCAACCAAGAAAGATTAATTACAAGGGTCTTGGATTGGCATCTATTGTTGCCTCACACCTGAGAGATGGGTTGATATCAAAAGCAACTGAGGGATGACAGAGAGGAAGAGGGAAGGGGAATAAGAGGAGATAACATTGTCAAGCTCTCGTTGATGACAGCAGAACAATGCAGGAGGGAATCTTTTTCGCTCTGCAACTTATGAGGCTTTTCGTTTTCAACCACTTTTTCTCCACTTCAGATCCTCCTACACTTTTGGCTCTCATTCTGATTTCCTGATTTAGTATGTCCATTAACACAGTGACACCCTGTGAACTTCATCTGCAGCCAGTCTGCAATTTTACCGCAGCTGCTTCATCCTAAGGGATGAGGGGCTGAAAGCAGCTCATTTCAAATAGTATCACAACCCGCTGACACGTCTCTTCAATGATGAGTATTAATGCTCAACATGCATTCCCTTTGTCATTGTTCAAAAATAACAAAATAAAGATTAGTGTGCAATTAGAACAAAACAATAACTTAACATAAACCTTCAAGTTTTTTTGTTATCTTACACTACACATTTCAATGTATTTTATTGCGATTTTATACCAAAGCTCAATAGAAAACGTGAATAATTGTGAAGCAGAAAGATGTGTTTTAAAGATTTAACAAATAAAAGTAAAAAAAAAGTGTGGCATGCACATATGTTTAACATGCTTTACTTTGACAGATCTCAATAAGATTCCATTTATAATTTATCTCAGTATAAACCCTGCTGTTTTCTAAAGGCCTCAGAAAGGCTTGTTAGAAAGGATTGATGAATGAACTGCATCATGAAGACTACAGAACACGGCATACAAGTCAGGGATAAGGTTCTTGATAAATCTGAAGCAGCATTATATTATAAATCATTAACCTAAACTTTGGACAGAGCTCAGTTCAACCCATTGTCCAAGAATGGAAATGGTAGGGCTATGTGCAAAAACTATGTGCAAAAATACATCATCAGGACAACTAATAATAGTGTACCACACAAACATAGTCTTTATTTAAAAATAAAAGCTATGTTGGTTTGTGAGAACAACAAACCATGGTTGAAAGTTGAAGAAATTCGTAAGATTTCCTGCTTACAGTTTGCCACACAGTAAACTAAAATTGTGGAAGATTATTTTGTCTAATCAGATGAAAACTCAACCTTTTGTCCCACAAATAGTCTATGAAAGGCTGAAAACTGTAATTGCATATCCTGAATTCATCATCCTTATGGTGAAGCAAGGAAGCAGCTGCATCATGCTATGGTGATCTTTTTTTCTGCAGATACTGAAAACTAATTATAAGCTATCTGGGGGTTAATCCTGGTATCCTGGTGTGTGTGAATACAAGAATGGTGACGTCAAAGCACAGAGCTGAAATCTTATAAGTTTATTAGTGTGTTCACACCAGCTCTTTTTAGTCTGCTTTAATCAAACTCTGGTTCGATTGTCCAGAAAGTCCAATGTGAATGTAATTAAACCCAGGTTTAGTTCCATTGAAGTGAACTACGGTACGTTTTGAAACCACATGCAGATGCAAGTGAAAAAGAGATAGAAAATAGGAATCAGACTAGAAGCAGGGCATTCTGGGTGAATACAACCTAAACAAACGTGAGTGTATAGTGCTAGCGGAAAAAATGGGTCGCCAAAGACAAAAGAGAAATCCTTCAACCGCTAAAATATGACCCTACTTCATTTTTATTTGCATTTTGTGAAGAAGGAAGTTGCCCTATATGTCTTCTTCAGAGGTTTTCATGTTGTGGATCTTGGTGCATACACCACAGGTGAGGGGGTGAACATTTTTTCAAAAGATTTGGTTCTTTTGACACTGCAATGTGAAACCCAACTGCACCAACTGAAAATGTAACAAAAGTTGCTATTTTGGTCACCAATCGAACAGAGTCTACCAGACTACCGTGTCAAAAAAACAATGACATTCACTATGCACTATGTTTAAGATATTTCGCACAGAAGAATGAGCTAGAATTTCAGTCTGCAGATGTGCAACACTGTAAAGATATGCCTAATAAGACTTGCAGCTGTAATTGACCCAAAAGGTGGTCCAACAAAATAATTACTCAGAGTATTAAGTAGTGGTGGCACTACTTAATACAGCCTGTTTCACTTTGCAAATATCGACAATGTTGTTCAATCAAAAAAATATTTCAATGAAAAACTCTTAAGCATGGGATTGTAATGTAATCAAAATGTTTAAAAAGTTCAAAAGATATCAATAGTTTTGAAATGGAGAGTATGAAATGGCATACCTGAATATCTTGTTATTCTTATTTTGCTCATTCGTCTTGAAAAGAGGACATCAACCTTTAAAAGCAGAGCTGAGGAATCTCCCAACTCCATAGATAAATGTCAAACTGATCTTTTTTTATTAATGCCACCAGACTTTTTGAGTTCCAAGAGGTAAAACGTGTGTAAAGACATTGAGGCTTAAATACCAGCTCCTAATGCTTAATAGAAGATACTGTTAACAGATCCAATTTTACCAAAATGACACAGACATCGCCATGTCATTCTAATAGGTTAGATATCAACTACATAACAAAATAGACAGTGAGAGAGAATCAATGGCATTTCCATCCCCAGTTATGCAGTTTCCCTTGTGGGTAAAATCTACAGCAAAGGATCAAATAAATGTCAGACACAAAAGGAAGTGTCAAGTAAAAATGAAAACCTGAGCTCACCGGTCCTGATAGTTTGACGACTCTGACTTTCTGTGGCACCTGCTGGGCTTCCACACCTGCATTTTTCACACGCTGCATCACAGTTCTTTTCGCCCCGGGTTTAGGTCCAAGAGTCTGAGCTGGGCCTTGCCTCACTGAAAGAGGGGTGTTCTTTTGAGGAACTTGAGCGCCTGGTTTGTTTGCACTCTGCAAAGAGCTATTTCTTCTTTGTTGCAGCAGAAGTGGCTGCTGCTGTTGCTGCTGCTGCTGGTTCTGTTGGGGCTGCTTCCACTGCTGCTCAGGACCTGAGCCAGGGGTCTGTTGCTCCTGTGGGCTCCCTTTTACCATCTGTAGGCGTGACTTGACGTTGGGGCGTGGGGCAGGGATCAGGGCAGGAATGCTAGGAGGCATGGCACTGTCCTGATTAGGATTAGTTAATGTGTGATTTACTGACTGTTGTGGCCTCTGAGGAACCGGCCTCTGCTGCTGGTGAGCCTGTAGTTGTTGCAGGTTTTGTTCTTGCTGCTGCTGCTGCTGCTGTTGCTGCTGTGGTACAGGGAGCTGATTTGGTGGTGAAGGTTGAGTCTGTGTAGGAGTAGAGTCCTGGTTTTGTGTGTTTGTCTGAGCGTTAAGTCTCTCCAGCAGCTCCTTCTTCCTGACACCAGCCTGCATCTGCCGCCGCAGCTCCTTTCTCTTCAGGATCTCCTCTCTGAGACGCTTCTGCTCTTCGATCTTCAGACGGTACTGCCGAGTCTCTTCATCTTCGTCAGGGTCCTGCACCATAAAAAGGATGTTGCAAAAGATGATTTAACAGTAAAAAGGGCTGCTCAAAAAATTTAAAAAAATCATAATAATTGTAGTCAATATTACAATCATTATAATATGCCATAGTTATTTAGTGGGGTTAAAACATCCTATATTTATCGCACTTGAAAGCAAAATTAACGTTTTTTACCAACATAATGTTAAGTTGTATCTTTTAAGGCATTACTAATTTATTTTACTCCAAATAGATTTTACATCACTGGAGAACATTGAAGCCCTGTCTATTTCCAGATTTGTCTGTGGAACATGATTCCAAATTACTGAAATATTCTAAAAGAAAAGTGCATATTGGGAAACTGAAATATATAGAGAAATTGCTACTTGACATCTTAAACCCCCACCAATATCAGAAATTCACTGTACAAAACATTTACCTCAACTTCCACTACTTAGAAAAAAATTAAATGCTGGACCTCACTTCTGAATCAACAGAATTTCCCTTTTTTAAGTCAAATGACCAAACTTGGACTAGTGCTCGTTTAAAATATGTAACATTTAGATAATGTGGAATGGACTCAGTGGCTGCTGGTATTCACTAGATTTACAAACAGTATTGGCCAGATTGAGCTCTAAATAAGTTTAAATTTTAAGGTACTAAACAACTCTACTGCAACAAGGCACAGTATTTCCTGAGTTAAATACATTTCTCAATTATCTGAACAGCAATTTTGTTGTTGTTTTTTTCTTGCAATTGGGTCTGATCCTGGATCACTGACCTGTGGTATTGAGCTGGATGGTGTGTTTGTAGTTTCCTGTTGTTGAGTCACCACCCTGCCTGCTTCCCCAGCCTGTGGTTCAGTCTTCGCAGCTTGGCCTCTTCCTCTGCCACCGCCATACGCCGGCTGAATGCTCTGCCCCGGACGCGTTCCCGGCGTTGTCCTGGCAACAGGATTGATGCTGGCAGCGGGGGAGGAACTGTTCATGTTTGTGTTAGCAGGTGCTACAGGGAGCTCCCGTAGGTTGCTGTTGCGGTGCTGCATTTGCTTGGAGATGGGCGTGTTCTGAAAACACAAAGAGATTTAATTCAGGTCTTTAATTACTTTTATCTACTGGCATAATTTTGGTCTCAAATGAAATTGAGGGGTTCCAACTGAAAAAATAAATACAATGAAATACAATGAGAAAAGACTAATTTTGCGACACTATGGCAAAACAGAACACTCTGATTTCACTTTGACCAACAATGACCTTCTCTGTTGATCTCTTACCATTCTCTGCCTGTTTGACATGTTCCTCTGTGGGGGGTTCTGAGAACGGGGATTCATGTGCCTGGGGCCACCATGCCCCTGCTGCTGATGGAAAGGATTTTGACCATGATGTGTCATGGAGCGAGGCTCATTGAGATTTATCTGTTGGTGCTGTTGATGGGGCATCTCTTGCCTATGGTGGTGGTGCTGCTGCTGCTGATGTATGGGATGGGGAGATAAAGGATCATGATGTGGCAGCTGGGAGACAGGGGGCGTGTGCATCAAGCCCTGCAACGGTAGCATAATTCACATTAAAACAAATATTTTAAATCATCTTGAATTATTTTTCAATAAAAACTTGTGAAATGTGCTCAACTAATTTCATCTCTTTCGCATGGAATACCCCAAGGCTCTGTTATGAGGCCTTTACATTTTTCTGTACATGCTCTGCCTCCCAGGAAACATCATCAGGGAATAAAATATTTCTTTTGCCTTTTGATGCCCCTGGCACCTACTTGTACCTCTCTCTGAAGTCTTCTGATTCCCTAAACCTCTCTTCTTCTATCTAAGTGAAATAATCTAATGGATGAAAAATTTTATTTACAAAGCTGGCAAAACTGAAATTTTGTATTTTTGGTCCACCAACTCAGAGGCTTTTAATTCTCTATTCAGGTTTTATGCTGGAATCTAACTTATTTGTGTGTGTATACAAGAGAAAAAAATTACAAGATTATCCATATTCATTTTAAAGGACACACTGCTAAATGATTGGAGTACTTAGTTTTGATTGATTTTTCAACTATTGAACAGCTGATTACAAACAGAGCAGATCAAAATTAATGTCATCATCACCAAAGGGACCACTTGATTTGGAGCCAGAAAAGTCCAAATATGATTGACATAAATACAAAAACAACAATATGCACGGCAGAACGAGAATACAAACTATGAGTGTCATACAGACTATGACACTCTCTATTTTGGCTAATCAGTTAAAATTATGAATATGGTTATCCATAAAAGGGACAAAAGCAAATATTTTTATCTGTTTGTATTACACTTTGTTAACATGGATTTGAAAATACTTGATAATAAATCTTTGGTCAACAAGAATATGTTTAGCTTTTCTTGCAACTCTGCAGAGTAGTATTTACTACCCTGCTCAGTTTGGGCTTTTGCTTTAAAAAGAGAGACACAAATCATTAAATAAAAGTAAAAGCTGAAGCTGACTAAATAAAAAAGTTTATCATTTTCAGAAATATTCTCAATGTCCAATGAAACTGTAAAAATTTAGGCTGTATCTGTTTAGCAGCTGTAAATCATATTACAGTTATCTGTGTAGTCTACAATCTTAACAGCTCTCATGAATAAAAACCGGAGGGCAAAGTGGAGACTTTTTTCTACAATCATTTCACTTTTCTTCGATTTTTGAGAAATTCATCTTTAGAAATGACACAGATAAAATTCTACAGTCACAATCAGAATCCTTGTCAGTAATCAAAGACACCTTTGTAGAGTCATATGGAAACTTTTTGCCTTTAATTAATAACTGGAACAATACATTTCCTATATCTTTGCTTGACAATTTTGATTATGGCAATTGGCAAAATGTAATATCCATTGCTCGTTTCATAACTGGCTACTCTGTCATGCTTTTATTGTGTAAAGCACTTTGAACTGGATTGTTACTGAAATATGTTAGACAAATAAACTTGACTTAAAACTAAAATTTGAGGTGATTGATGTGAACTTAACTTTAATTGTTGCTTATGTTATTGTTGTTGGATTTCAAATATGACACGATAAGGATTCCCTCACTAGGGGGAGCTCTAGACTATTTCTCTTGACAAAATGCATTGGCTCTTGCTAAGTGAGAATGTTTTGATAATAATTCAGAACACTTAATAGAAATTTCAAGCAGAATCAGAGCATAAACAAGATAAAGAAATGTCCACCACTTACTCTTCGTGGTACCTGCAACCCAAACTGAACTGGTGGAGGGGGGAACATGTTGCCCTGCTGGCCGAATGGCTGTCGAGGGCTCATGAAAGGCCGGGGCTGGTTTGGGGGACCACCTTGTTGATTCAGGTTCACCATCCCCTGGTGGCCTTGGTGGGGAGGGAGGTTGGGTCTCGGGGGTTCTCTCTGGAACAGTCCTAACGGGCCCTGGCCTGGCTGGTTGAAGGGCGCTCCAGGAGGGCTGAAGCTCATGTGGGCCTGGCCAGACAGCTGGTGGTGGTGGAGGTTGTTGCCGCTGTTCATCAAAGAGCCAGGCCCTGGGTGATCAAACATGTGCTGACCTGGAAACCGTGATGAATCTCCACACTCTGTGGGCACACAGGGAAGACAAAAACAGCTCAGTTTAGTTTGTTTTCTCCTAAAGAAGAAATTTTAGATTTCTTTGCAGCATGAAAACAACATCAGACAACTCTATCAGGGTGAAGGGTGGAAACAAGAATATAGGTTATCAATTTTACATTAATGATGGGTATGAAAAATCATAAATATGTATGTTTAAAGCCATTTCCAAGGTTCATTCACATGTATATACGAACATGCATTTAACATGAGATCTGCTAATACAGCAGCACCAGAGAGCTGGCAGCATACCCTCTAGGTATAGGGCTAGAGGTGATGAAGAGAGCTCAATATGCTCTGAAAGCTTCCTAATACTCATCAAGGCTAGACGTTGAGACTAACCTCCTATAAAGAGAGGCTCCCTGTCCTGAGGGCCCTGAGGTGGTTGGTTCCTTAAGGGCTCCATGTGATGAGGCAGTCGCTGGGGTGGACCAAAATTACCTGGCATGTGCTGCTGGAAGTCTCCAAGGCCCTAGGAAGAAAAACCCACAAAACTCATGAATCATTTCACCAATCTGGAAACTCAATAATGGAAAAACAACTAACTAATAAAGGGAGAATTGTGAAGAATTAGACTGGGCAGAGAGAATGTGAGTAATTGAAGTGCTGGGGCCTTTAAACAGATGTAAACATCAATATGCATGCCAATACCAAAGGAACCCTTCAGCATGAATTCCTGAGCAAACCTGCATTAATATTTCTTGGGGCTTTATTGATATAAATGAAAAGCCAGTGTCTAATAAGGAAAGGGTGTTTCGGGGGGGAATAGGTGGCCTCATCTTTGTTTCAACCACTTTGTCTGGTCGACAGCTTTCTACTCTAAACCCAATCAATTTAACCAAGAAAACCAGATAACAACTATTTAATCCCTCCTTGGAATTTGAATCTCCCCTCATAACTGTCTCCTTTATTCTTTAAACATCCATCTCTGTTGAAAAATTAACCTCCTATTCAACACGTGACACTTCCACAAATGGGCTGCTTGCCTCTTCTGAGCCTATTGTAAATTACTTAAGATGCTATCAAGGCCTAATCCATCTTTATTCCACTTCTCTATGGAGGTATTTAGAGAGAAGATGTGTTAAAAAGCAAGGCCAGAGTCCCCAAAACTTGCTTAACATAAAGTTAATCAAAGGGGCTTATGAAGACAGGGGATCACAATGAGGGCACAATCATACTATTCTAAAAGGTCAGACAGACAGGTTTGCACAATGAGGACTCCGGTGTCCATATAATACCTCTCAAATACCACAGCTCATCCTCTCACTTCTAATCCTTGATAAAACAGTGTCTGGAAAGCTCAATATTTGAGTGAAGCTGGTGAAGCTCCAAGCTAAAAAGGTATAATATATGTAAATATGTAGGGGTGGCCAAATGTTAAAGTGCTCTTAATGAATGTCTGATTTTAACAAGATGGGTTTTTTTAAAGAGATTTTATATTGATTTCTTAGAGTGAACAATAAAGTTAATTGATTTTTGAAATATTTTAATTCTATGGCAATACATATATATTACTATTTTTCCTCTTTCTACATAAATTTTGTACCCGTAAAATTAAACTTTTCATAGCCACTGACTTTAACTTTTGATTATTGGTTTGTTTCTTATTATAGCCAAGAATTTTAATTAATTATGGCTATAAAATGTCAATGCAAAAATGCCCAAATATGATATGTAATTTAATTGCATGTTATCATCTGAAAGCTTTGTCTTGCATTTAATTGTCATTAATTTTCATTCCAATCCATTTTTGGGCCAACCATCTGTTAAAAAAAGAAATTATGCAATTCATTGGAGTCATATCAAGTAGCAGAATGTAGCAAATCACTTTAAACTGGTACAACAAGTCCTGAAATGAACTAACAATTCAGATGAAATAAAAATTGGAGAAAACAAGACAACAGATGGACAGGATGGATGAATCTTCTTTTTTTTTGTTTGTTTTCCCAAACAGGGAAACTGCATATTTACAGTAAATCTGTAAGAACTGTGAACTAATCCTAACCATATATTGACGGTCTGTGCTCATCTTAAGCTCGGGTGATGTCAAAAAGGCTTTGAAATTTACACTTTTTTGTGCTCACAGACAGAATAAAGGTTTCATAAAGGTGACACAACAGTTAATCTCTAAATGAGTCCTAGTCTTGGCAGATTTAGATTTAAAATAATTTTCACTCAACCAAAATGGTTGTCGGTATGAAAACAACAAAAGAGTGTTAATTAAGAAGAAAAAAATATTTCTGCAATCATTTGCATTTTGATATGCTGAAAATGTGATATAATTTTTTCAGTAAGCAAAGAAAAAGCCTTTCCTGAGCAGCTATTTGCATCTTTGGTGATAAACTCCAAAACTCCAAAGGCTTTCGGACTTAGGCGCATCTTAAAATTGGGGGAGGGAAGATGAGACGTGTGACTCATATCACATGTCACTTATAAATGACAACTATAGGGGATATGATGGCATTTTTGAAAACAGGGTTGATTAAGATGGGAGAAATTAAAAGTACAACTGATACCAGTTTGATCCCAATTACTACCTACTATGTGTAGGACACTGATTCCAAAACTCCATAGAAGCTCGCAATTGAAAAAGGTTTCAACTGTCCTTTTAACAGTCTCAACCTAACGTTGTACAGTTCACAATTCTAACATTAGTATTAGAAGCAGTGTTGCACAGAAGTCCTGTTAACTTTTGTAGATGCTGACTGTATTTCAAACCATAGCTAATAAACAGCAGGGTAGCAAGAAGATGAACTGGCTAGCTTTGTTTTTTGGCTGAGCACAGACACTGTTGTGACATTAATTCTTTTTCACACACCTCATTAGCAACTCCTTAACAGCCATCAGCACCAGTAGGCATCACCAAGAGACGACTGTTCATAGATGGAAGTAAGCCAAGCTTCTCTATCCAGCAGATTATAATGTAGAATAAGGATTCCCATAATGTAGAAATGTTTTCAAAACTAAGCAAAAAGCTATCAAATAAACAGCATCTAATTATTTTTACAAAATGTTCTTTTGAGCATTTTTTTTCCTCCATATTTTGATTTTTAAAATAAATTAATCATTTTATTGAATAATTTTTTAAAAATCATTATACGTTGGAGTTTAGAGGCTTAAAGATGCGTAGAAACAAATATTCCTAAGAAGGGCTTTAATTAGTGTTAAGATTAATATTTCAAAACCTGTCTCCACCTCCAAAAATTTAATGCATTAATACTGGAGGCTATGACCCCCCATTAGTCCAGCCTTTAAACAATTAAATTTGATGGGATGATAATGTATGATAATTACACGTAATCACATGTCCACTGATAAATGGAGAGTTGCCTGCTGGTGTGTCACCTGCATTTCAAATCATGTCCTTGGCAACGGCAGCCTAAATGTGATTGACAGCTAGGGAATCCAACATCGTGCTGTTTATCTTCCAACTTGTCTGAATTCTCTTCCCAATACTTCTGCTTTCTGATAAGAGCCCAAACTGTTTTTTTAGCAAGTCTGCTGTCAACATTCAACATGATGTTAAGACATATGGGAACAGGAGCAGCATCATTCTGACACAGAAGGTTGAGAAAGAGGTAAATAAAAATACAGCTTTTCATTAAGAGCATCTCCAGGGAAACAACCAGGCTCATTTGTACATCCACATGAAGGCAATTGGATGTAGTCATTTTCTGATTGCTAATTTGCATAAATCCATATAAAATGCAATTTCCAGAAATATGTCAGTCACCAGCAGCACCACCTGATGCCTGGGCATCATTATCTAAAAGGATGGTGAGACTTAGGGCACTTCGGCTCACTTTATGGCAAGCAGGCTTCTTCAATGCAATTATGACCTGAAAGAAATTTCTGTTGCAATTTGGGAGGGCTTCTTTGTGACTCAAATGGGAGACCCTTTCTTCCAGAAAAATCCCTAATCTCAGATACATTTGTATGCCAAATGTAAGAATATAAGATGGAGGGTGGGGGGAAGCCTCAGTCCACCACGTTTCACTAGCTCAGATATCATTGAAAGCTAGTGCAGAGACTGAATTTTTACCAGAAGTATATCCCATATTCACAATACCATTATGTGCCAAGCTGGCTTGTCTGAGCTCCACACCATCCATGAAGAGCTGTTAAGTAATTCCCGTCACAGCAGAGCCTTGCCTCCAAGTCTTCAGCCTAGAGCTCCTATCATGCGTTTCCAGTTGTACACCCAGGCTCGTATCGCTGTTTACGGATTTACTTTAACAGTATTTGGTCAGTGCAGACGGTCTAATTGAAGTAATGATATTTCCACTAACATAAAGGGACATTGACCGTGTGGCGAGTGAAAGAAAGTGAAGCAAATGGAAGGTGGAGGAGCAGCTGCTACTCACAGGAAACCTCTGAGGACCCACAGCAGGTCTGGACTGGCTCTGAGCAGGAGGCATCAAGGGCACTGCAATGAGAAGAGAGGGGCAGAAACAGGGAGCAAAAGGTGGGGGAAGGGTGGAAAACAAGGAAAATGAGAGGCAGTAGGCAGAGAGGAGGAGATATCCCTAAACTAAGGATTCTTAGGCATAAATGTTACATTTCCACATCTTTTTTTTACGTTGATAGGTATGGAGCAGGGAGCTCAATGCAATGTTAACCTCAGAACAATTTACAAAAAAGTAGAGAAAGCATTTGCAGTTTCATAACATTTGGCATCAAGTAATCCAATAAATTAAATTTTGATGCAACTCAGTTTCTAACAAAAAAAGGATTCAGAGACAACAACTCAGTCAGAGTAGTAAATACATACTACATATGTAAAAATGAATAAAACGATGGACAGTTACATAATTCATATGTTCATATGTTATCCTGTCTTTTAAGGGTTCTTTCAATATTTAATTTAAATCTGTATTCTTAAGACTCAGTTTTCAAGATTTTTTTTTATAGTTTTTGGATTTTTAATTTAAAAAATGCCAACATCTGGAAATTAACATCCTAAATCTTGACTGATTTATCACACATTAAACACTTTGAAACCCAGTTTGTGATCTCTGATACATTTTTTATATTTGCAAAACTTAAAAAAATGGAGGAATTTAAGACCCTTTTAGGAACCGCAATTGCAGAGCAAAATCCCATGGTGTAGCGATGGACTTGAGACTCGGTATACTTTCATCCGAACTGCTCAACAGTGGCTCTCGCTCAGTGTTCAGAGTCTTTGTCCTGCTAGGAGTTGATTACACTCCAGTCTCAAGTCTTTTGGAACCTCTAACAGGCTTTCTTCCAGGATTGTTCCACATTTTGGTTCAGCCATCTTCCCACTGACTCTGACCAGCTTCCCTGTTCCTCATTATGACAGGCATCCCCATAGCATTATTCTGCTATTACCATGTTTCAGGATTGAGATTCTGCATTAGGGATTACATGTAATTTTGGTTTTCTGCCACACAAAGTGTTCTGCAAGTGGACCAATAGTTTAATTTCAGTATCATCTGACTAAAATGCATTTTGTTTACAGTTTTTTCCCAGATAGCTTGTGACAAAATGCAAATATGGCTTACTATAGCTTTATTCTTGATTCTCCGAGGAACCGGGAAATAAGGAGTGCAGGATTACTGGAATAATTCATAATAATGTACCTCCTCCTTGTTTTGTTTTTTTCTCACCAATGAAAAAATAACTCAAGTAATTAAATATAAGAAACTAAGACAACACATGTCAAAATAAAAAGTCATTATTTATAGGATCACCTACTTTGTACAGAGGACTGTGCAGGTCCTCTGAAGTGGGGGTTAATGTGGATGTTTTTGGGTTGAGTGGGCTGTTGCTGGTGATGTTGAGGGAAACTAGGCGGCGGGGAATTCATCATTCGAGGTGGGGGTTGTTCCAGCTGGGGCCGTAGGGGTGGGGAGCGATGAGCCAGGTGAGAGGAGAGCAGCGGCTGAAGAGTCTGCTGGGGAATGGGGCGTCCGTGCTCCTGGAAGGGAAGTGGTCCTCTTGGACGTGAAGGGTGGTGCTGATGGGACTGCAGATGCTGCTGATGCGGGGAAGGCATTCGAGAGGACGGCTGTTAATTGGAAAATGTAAGAAAACGAGACAAGCTGTCAAAACACAGGTCTTCCCATTAAGAATGACACCATTTCATTTGCAACATGAGGTATAAATGTTAAACAGAATCTTAATTTAAGGAGTATTTATATCTTAGTGGACACTTTCAAAGTGAGCGACAGTGAACATGATTCACAAACATAAACATCTGTACCTGCAAAAATATACTAACCAACTGATAAATGCTGGAGGGGATCAAACGGTACAGCTCAGTGGTGTTTCAAATTGATCTTTGATAATTGGTCAAGCAAACAAACAAACAAACATGCCACTGACCACATTAGTCAAATGGTAAAAATCTGACAATTACAGTATGTCGCAAAAAGCACAACCTCATTAACTGCAGACAACAAAATGTTTGTGGTGCTGGCATGTCATCCACGTGCCATTAATTTTTCATTCCATGTGTTGGTGTTGTGTTTGAAATTTTACAGCTTATTATTATTAATTAATATAACCTAAAAAAATGCAGTGCTAGAGTTTAAATGCAGCCTTGAGAACTACTTTAACCTTAGGGGTTCTCTTTAGCTCAGTTTGTTTTGTTACCTGTAGCCTTGAGCTAAAGTTTGAAGCGCCGCCACAGATCTATACAGCTTTTGTTTAAAAATTTATTTCAAAGATATTCATTTCAGTTTGGTTTATGTGTACTACTTACAGAAGGCATTGTTGCAGCATATTAAGCAGCTCGAGTTACAAGAAAAAGCCTGATAGCCACAGTTCAGATTTTTCTCTTAGTTTCTAAAACACCCTGAACATTTGCAAGAGAAAAAATCAGGCGAGTTATTTATAGAAAACAGAACTCTTGGAGAAGCTATTTTCCACAAGCCACAATAAGTGAAACTAAAATTAGAAAAATATCAAACCGGAGATATGCTCTGATCATATATTTGATCCTGTGAAGCTGTATGTTGTTGTTGGAAAGACAGACTTCAGAACAAGATCTATCAAATAAAAATATTGTAGTGTGACGCATCGTGGGCTGAGTCAAATTAAAACATTGTTTTTATGCTTTTCTGTTGAAGTACAAACATTAAGAGTACTTAGTGTCACAGTTTGATTTGGTGTTATTGCAACATGGTACAACCATGTTTTTGGTTGTGACCATATTTGTCAGAAAACTTTCAAACAAAATATCATGTCTTGTTACATTACAACTAAAATATAGATGCTCTAATTCAAAATAGTGTATACTTTCTCAGTATATCTATATATTTACACTGATAATTTGGAGGTTAGTGTTGTCAGAACAGAAAAAATGTGATATTATTTAAATGAATTATACCTGCATTTGAGCGAAACAGATTTTATAAATAATAGTCACAAATGTCAGAAATTGACAGCATAAAAAAGAAATAATGCACACTGTATCCATGTAATATAAAATTACCATAAAAGAGGCTTGCATTTGCAGATCAAAGTGCAAAAATATGCTTTCTAGAAAAAACTGACCCAAGAGGATTGAACTGAAAAGAATATGCCAAGCTGTTCATTTTGAAAACCAAGTATTATTTTCAATTCGCTTGAAAACTATACCCTAACTTTGTTTTGGTCTGTCACAACAAATTTGTATCTCGTAAGTAAATTATTGTAAGGGAGAAACAGTTTCAAAAAATCCAAGTGGAATTTGGGCAGATAAGTTCACAAGTTTACCTGTATGCTCATGTTTCCCATCAGGGGCAGCATTTGGTCATGCATTTTTCTTCTTTGTCCTCCTCTAAAATCTGCCATTCCAAAGCCAGAGAAACCTCCTCTTCCTCTGCCTCCTCGCCCCCCTGCTCCCATTCCTGCTCCTCTGCCTCGGCCTCCGTGACGGTTTTGTCTCTTCTGCCGTTCCTGCACCTCAAACTCCATCAAGTCTTTCTTGGCCTTGTCTGAAAGCTCTAGAGACACGCAGAAACATAACATTTATGGATTCCTCTTTCAGGGAGCAAAGTATAAATTATCCACAAAAATAATCAAGAAAACAGATAAAGCATACCGAGAGTTTCAGGGATGTGCCTTTTTTTACTACCAGAATCCGCCAGGCGCACAACAACGCCATCCTTCCTCTCAGATTTAAACCGTATTCTGCCAGATTCTGCACTTTCTTCGTCCTCTTCATCAGATTCCTCCTGCGTTTCGTCCTCAGGAAGAGTCTTATTCCCACCCTGGAGACAGTGCCCAACATTAAAATCACAAGTACTATGGTGCTGTGTTGTGTAGAGGTACAACAGCTGTAGCTGTCCAGGATCTGAATCTGGGACTTATGGTGCATTGTCTTCCCCCCAAATCCCTCTACCCACATTCTGCTGCAAATAAGAGCTACTAATATTAAAAAAAAAAAAATTAAACAAGTAAATCACTGAAAATTTTCCAGCTACCAGTACAGTAATTCATGTCAGAGTTACTATTCTCTGGTCCATCCAAGTTTTTAGTTAAAAAAAATGTTATCTTAAAAATTATAACAACTTTTACAGAAGAGATGCATTTATTAAAAACAGGTCAATTTCATAGCAGATATCTTTAACTTGAAGGTCCTCAAATTTTAAAAAGTTGATATATTTCTTATTCCTAGGGTCAAGTTAGTTTTATTTTGCAGGAGTGTGGGCAAAAACTGGCCCAGTCGATTAATTGCCCTGCCCTGCTAATTTCTGATTTAGTACATTTCCATTTGGATTATTTTCTTTTATCTCTAATAGGTACAATAAAAAATTTATTTTTTTAATATAAATTTGTTAAAAATAAATTATGGCAAAATTGAGAGAAGTCATACCAATGAGAAGACTGTGTTTTGTAGTTTTAGATTTAATCACAAATCAAAGCACTCAGTCCAGACCCACCTCCTCTGTCTCATAGACTGGAGGTTCCTCTGTTGCGTTTTCTTCTTGCTGCTCTTCTCCTCTCCCCTCCTCAGCATCTTCCTCCTGAGTCGTTTCTGCTTCATTGCCATTGGATCTTTGAAACTCCTCATTCTTAAAGGTAAATCACAAAGTCAGTGTTATTCTCTGATATTTACCAACAATGTACCACTGTATTTTAGAAATTATTTTTTTTTTATCATATCTTATTTCTGTTAGAAAGCAAGAATAATCTTGACAAACAAAAGAATAGAAGCAAAAGAGATGAGTGAATTAAGAAAGATACAGGTTTGTTGAATTAATGTAGGATTTGCATTTTAGATATATACAATTTTAACATAAACAAAGACAAAAAACAAAACATACAAAAAAAAAAAAAAAAAAAAAAAACACAACAAAACAAAAGAGAATGGAGACCAAAATGTTATGGTGAGGATTTGGAAGGCACCAGGGAGCCCCACCCCTTTCCAAAGGCAAATTACCATAACAGTGGGAGCAAGGCTTCATTACTATTCCTGGTAGCATTTGAAATTCAATGAGATGTAAATGTTTGACATGATATACAGAAATGCAGGCACAGATAAAAACACTCCTCCCTGCTTCAGTGATGGTGAAAATATCATTGACTGACTCCTCACAAATCACTCTGTTATTGGCTGAACTGTAAGTTCACGACTGCGTAGCGAAGGAAGCAAAACATTGCAGGATGACAAATCAGTTTTTCTCTCTTTTTATCTTCATAACTGTTTCATTCGGCTTCTGATTCGTTGCAATTTATTATTATAAATTCAAAATAAACAAGTCTGCTGCAGAGGCAAAAATCTACAAGTCATTCGCTTTCTAACAGAGCTAGTAAAGCGATTCAGAATAACAAGCATTAGCTTGTAAATAAGGTCATATTGCAGGTCACACAACAGTGTTTTTCTGTTGTACCCCATTAACCTCCCAACTGGAAAGCACATAAATGCAAAACATAAAAACAAACTTGCAGAGAAGCAAACAAATGGAGTGACTCTCCCAAGAGAGAAGAACATCTTAATCATTTAAACCATTCCACATAATCCTCAATGAAACCAGGGTTAGCAAAGAGTCAAGGTCAACCTGTTTAGCGACCCTGTAAACAGCAATACGCATCTATACCCACACATCCCCCTAGATTGAAAAGAGACAGCCACTTTGGCTAAAAAGGTCAACATCTTATCTTTGTTTTGAAAGGGGAGTTGGGCTAATATATCTCTGTCAGGTGCCAAACACAATCACAACACGGTAAATGGACCATAACAGACATTTGCACATGGATCTGGCCTTATCTTTGATCCTCTTAGTCTGGCTAAAGAGTAAAGGGAACGAATAAAAGAGAAACTAACATCAATCATTAGAAAACTGTATGGAGTGTCCTTAGGAAGGTCAATAATCTTTTCACCTGTGTGAGACTTTATCAGATCCAGTGTAAAAGCCAGAAAAGGGGGGGGAGCCTCCCACATTAACCTCTGGCGATTGGCAGCACATCTCCCCAACACAAAGAGGCTTCTCGCTGCTCTAAAGATACACGGCCCAAGGTCACAATGGCAGTGAGATTCGAAGGCGACAGCGGCCAAACAAGCCGTCAAGTAAACTTTGTCAGCAAGATGGAGAAATTTGCTGGCAGGAGGTGATAATGATTTTAATCGTCCTCTCCCCAAAAAACGCCAACAGATGTCTCCGTCTCCTGAATAGATTTTTTTTCATCCTGACTTCTCCCAAGATGAGACATTATCTCTGGGACACAATAGAGGTGGGGAGAAAATGTGAGTGGGAGAATGTGTGGGTGTGATTGTGTGCGTGCGAACCTTTACACAGCAGCAACAAGCAAATGTGAAAACTCACTTGAAATTCACCGTCTAACGGCTCGTTGATGTTGATGTCTAGCACTTCATACTGGTAGCCATCATCACCCTCAGCTGGCTCTCCGGCGTAATCCATTTGGTTCTCAGACATCTCTGTATTGTCCTCCTGGTTGTAGGTTTCTGCATATGCATCTTCCTCTTGGCGGAACTCCTCCTCCTCTTCGCAGCCCTCTGCACCCAGGTTCACGACATCATCTGTGTAGTCTGCTTCCTGCAAGTTGCCCTGCTGGTCATAGGAAGCTCCCATGCTGTATGTAGCATGTTGACCACTGAGAGAGAAAACAACATTAGAGCTGCTGGGACTCATTGTGATAGTTAATCACCTCAACAAAAGCTAAATTATTAAACATGACGAAATGATTATTGAAATAATCGTCAACTAATTGAGTAGCAGAGTAATTGTTAGCTGCAGTGTACAGGCTCAGAAAAAAGTCATTTGCTGAAAGAACAACTGACATTAAGTCAAGCAGAAAAGGTTGAGATTTTCACATGTTAGAATTATTATTTTTAGCTGCAGACGCATCCTTTGACACAGATGGTCACGTGTACTGCAAAGGATTGCTATGTTACTGTATTTCAGGTCATAAAATGTTTATTTTCTTACTTAAAAAAGAAATTGAACTATTTGTTTATTTGCCTCTTCTAGTGTATTTCCAGTAATTTTTAAAAAGCTTAAAGTGTTTAATAAAAAATCAGCAGAATGTGACCCTTTTTTATCCAAATAATCAGCTGAATAATCAATTAATCATAAGAATAAGTGATTTACATGTCTAATCAGCTGAACGATTTGCAAAGTGTGGAAAACATCATCATCATACCGTAAAGTAATTGCCAAAGCACTGAATATTAGTTTGAACTTTCGCTGTATTAGCACCTTTGACTAGCTCATTTTAAATATAAAATAATACTTTTTAAAGCAGATAAAAACAGGTGAATAAATTTAGTGCATTACATTGAAACATAATCCAATGTTTTATTTTAGTAAAGGGTTTAAAACAAAACAGATTCCTCAGAGCTACAGTCATGATTGAAAAAGTCAGGGTGGTGTCGTACATATCTTTGAAAAATCTGCTTTTTCTACCTATATTTTGTTCTTTGTTGAATAACAAAATACAAAATATGAAAAAAAATTGAAGAAATAAACTACATAAAAATGTTTTGAATATCTTGAGGGAAATCAGTTGCTTTAATTAGCTGCTACATTGACAAAAATGCCAATTAGATTAATAAAAAATGGCAAAAGAAGCAGGACTAAAGTGTCAGAGAAACAGAAGCAAACACTGATGCTAAATCTGAGCTAAAAAATGATCTGGAAACATTATTTTATGGAAATCTACCTCGTGTTCAGGTCGTCATCGTCACTTTGAAGAAGGTCATCATTTAGCTCTTCATCTGACATTTCTGAAGGATTCTAAAACAAAGTAAAAAAAAAAAAACATCATTCTAATGTGTCATTTTCAACCCATCTTAAAATTGTACCGCCTATGCCTCTTTTTGGAGTGTGTGTTTTTGTAAGAGGCGTGGGGGCAGGTCACCTCCAACCCCTGAGGATGCTTTATTCCCATGTGGTGAAGGCAATCTGGGCAGGTCAACACTGGCCTTTTTTGTCAACTACATTTCCTCCTGTTTCACATCAACAGTTCCCCCTGCGGAGGAGCCACCTGCTACATGTCCAATCCTCACAACTATTCTCAAGGGTTTCAACAGTAATATTGCCTAATGTTTTGGGCGTCATATTCCTGTTGTAAGCACAAAATCTGCTTCAAACTCAATTGTTTTGCTGTTGCAAAATAAAACAATAACCTACTTCCAAGCATTGTTGTTTACGCTTACCTTTTTAGCAGACAGCCAATCTTCCTCCAACAAATCCTCTTCCAAATCACTGGACAATATGAAATTAGAGCAGTGTCAAATAAACAAATACATAGATGGATAATGGAGATAGAATTAATCCTGCCTTCTTTTCTTTTTAATACCGAGCACTGTCATTCTTTAGTATCTTGGGATCACAATAAATCCCCCCAAAAAAGAAAAAAAAATCAACTGGGCACACATTGTTCAACCAGACATAAACCTATACATATATTTTATTTTCAAACTCCACTGAAATTTATTTCACACTTCAGGTTGCAACAAAACACACTACAAACCATCTTTACAGTGAAATACTTTTGTGTGACTGTTTTCTTTTTTTTTCCATCCATACTGCTTCTCAGTTGTTTCATACTGAATAGGTAAGTGACTTTTAGATATTTGGAAGGATAAAAAAACAATGACTTGACACCTGCATTTTGAGATAAACTGGAGCTTAAAGGTGAAAATTTTAAGAGACAGTTTTTACTGTTCCTAAAACCATATTGTCACTCTGGTTGTCAATCTGCAAGATTATATTTTATTCATCAAAAGAAAAAAATACAATGTTTTACAGGACCTTTTACATGACCCTAACAGGAAGTTGAGCTTTATTTTTGTATAAATGATCATTGGGCAACATGACTTATTAATATTGTTGAGCATGTTAAGCAATTAATAAATTCACCATCTGCACAGATCTTTAATCTTTCCTAAATATACATATAACAGGTATGAATACTTTGAGGTGTTCACGTTTAAGTTTTCATTTGACTAAACAATAATATCAATGCTGTATGTAGCTGTGCCTTGGTAAATGCAGTAAACAAGCTCTAGCATCACCATAGCAGCAGGATTGTTTACATCAATGAATCGTAATCACTGGAGTCCCTCTACTAAACACAGGGCACTGCTGCAGGAAAAATAATTGCTATAAAGCACGAATGGTAGGTAAATAACATTTAAAAGCAAGTATGCTTACAACACAAAACAAGTTTAATGTTTGAAGGCTCATATTTGCATCACATTTCATAAGTAATATTCAAAGTCTCATATATTTTAAGACTGTTTCGGCTTGCAACATAGTCACAAATATGAAAGAAGATCATTTTGATGTGAGGTTTTACCTCTCCAGAGCATCTTCTCCACCTCTTCTTCTGCGGGAACGCTCAGCACCAGGTTTGTCATACTCATCAAAATCATAGTCTGCAACAGAGAAACAGTTTCTCTTATAAATATGCTACCAATTGCAGTTCTGCAGTAAAACATATCTTCTTTCATACCAGTTTAAATATTTATCTGTTTTTGGATAACAATAGTATTCTCTCATTTATTAATTCAAGTGAGTTACTTTAGTATCAAGGAATAATAAGCAGCAAGATTTTATGTGAAAGCTTCAATTAATAAATTAACAAATCAGCAACAGCTCAATCTGCAAACAATCTTGGATAGACATAAAATTACTAGCAATGAATTAAAACAAAATACAGTTACATGAGTATTGCCAAGAAGGGCATCTTAAGATATTATCTATTAATACTCAATATCTAGGAATAATAGAGTTCAGCAACTCCGATCTTTGTCAACACTAACATTGATAATATCATCCTGGCAGCATGTCTGATAAGGAAAACTTCAAGAAACAATCTAACTTTTGATGTTAACAAGATTTACAACACGGTCATAAAAACTGAACCGCTGGAGACACAAGGCAAAACGAAGAGCGATAAAGTTGACTCCCACATATTAGGAATCCAAAGCAAGATTGGTCATTCTTTCTTCACAGCAACTGATCCAGGAGGATTTTTGTGCTATGTGATGAAATTTCTACGCTGTGAATAACATTTACAAGTAGAAGTGTTCTTAACTAATGTGTTTTTAGCTACTTAATACCAAACTTTAATTAGCTTACACGTCTGTGTATGAGCACCCTTGAAGCAGCTTTTAATATATGCCCCAAAGACATTTAGAAGAGAGAGGAAAGAGAAATGAGACAGGAAACTTAAGAAAATAGGTTAATGAGATGGGGACAAGTTTCACCACAGTATTTCAGACCACAAACCTAAATGTACTTTAAGTTTAACTTTTTAGGTTAGTTCAAGACTTTGTTTAATTCTGTCTGTCTGAATCATGAAAAGTTGCTCACTGATATTGATAGAGAATACTTTTTAGGTTCAACCATGAAGTTTTTAAAACTGCAACTATGGCAAGCAGTCACATTCAGGCTGACTTAGCAATGGAGCATTGGTATATCAGCATTACAGTCGTACCAATTCTATAGCAAATACATACCACTTCACTGAGAACAAAGCCTGAAAAATTTTTTTTTTTTGATTAGGTGTGGAACTTACACCACATACCTTTTTCTATTTGTAACATAATGATCTAAAGAAATTAGAAAACCACAACACACAAAAAAAGGTCAGAATACTACAAGTAGCATAACTTAAAAATGTATTAATACTGTGCATCTGGAATAACTTTAATAAAAACTAAACGTTCATGAATGCTGAAATCTTAGACACTGACCCAGCATATTAGGGAGAACCACATTGAGTAACCCCCAAAAACATATTTTTGAGGTAAATATCATTACACCAAATATGCATAGATCAACTTCAACTATTTATTATTTCAGCAATTTTATTTTAAGTGCATTTTCAGATGCATAGAAATCTTTTCAGCGAGTGAATGATTTATTCAAGCTAAACGTTATCAGGTTTTATATGTTAAAACAGAACCTTCAAAGCCACAAACCTCAATGAATAAGAAGAACGCAGACTATGTTACATCAGACTTTAGCCTTTTTTAAAACTCATAATTAAAATGTAGAATAGGAAAACCAACAACTGGGTGCACCCTAAATACATGCATAGAGATTTTCAGGTTTATAAATATATTCAGAATCTGAATGCATATACATTTTTTAAATAGCATCTATAAAAAATTCCTTCCCAAAATGATTTGAGTTCTTGTTCCAGAAGCATAATACAATTTGAAAAACGTCAAATAAAATAGAATAAACATTACTTTTTTTTATTCATTCGTTAAAAAAGGACCTGGACCTGCACAGAAATATAACCTTTCCAAATTCTGAGACAATTCTCTAGTATTTACTGATGTTTGAGAATGTGTTCTTGCATTATTATGCCTTTATCATTATTTTACTTGAAAATGTTCTCAAAATGACAATATTATTTATTCCAATAACTTCTGAAACAATTTATCATCAAACAAAAGGTGTTATTGTGACAAGCCTTTTTATTAATGTCTTAACATAAGATTTTTATATACATTTCCTCAGCATTTAGTAGGATTGCATTTGAACCGACTTTTCATAATAGTTTGATGGAGTTGTGGTCCATTCCTCCTGACACAACTGCTGGAATTGAGACACATTTGTAGACCAAACCACTTATACACATCTTTTCAAATCTGCCCTCAACTTCTGTATAGGCTAGAGATCAGGACTTTGTGATAGCTATGCCAAAGAATTGACTTTGTTGTCCTTAAGCCACTTTTTAGCACTTTGGCTGTATGCTTCAGGTTACTGTCTATTTGGAAGATCAATCTGAAAAAGAGTTTTAACTTCCTGACTGACGTCTTTAGATGTTACTTCAATACTTCCACATATTATTTCCTAATGCAGATTGCATCAGTTCCTCCTGAAGCAAAACAACCCCATTCTTCGCAGATGGATTGGGGTTCCTAGGCTTACAGCATCCAATTTTATCATACAAGTGTAACATGGTCTTTACAACCAAACAGTTCCACTTCAGTGTGTTCTAGGTGTTAAAACACATCTACGGGTCAGCCTCCAATTATTTCAGCTATGTCAGTTAACCTTCCAGAATTTTCCAAAACCATCTGGGCTTTTCCTCTTTAAAGAGACCTTAATCATTCTGTATATAAACTTCTGATTTTGAAGACATTCATAAGACATATTCTCTCTGTCATTATTGTGACATTTACTAAAATGAAAAAATAATAATTCTCCATAGGCTAGAGAATAAATAGTGTTGTGGTTGTACTAAACCACAATACTAAAATAGAGGTACTTAAGAAAACAACCCTCTATCACATACACAAACAGTAATGATATGGAAATAGTAATGGAAACAATATTGCACATTCCTTATAAAGTAAAATGTGACCACTTGGTAAGGTTTTTTTTTTGCCTATATAGTTTTTAAATGTCAAGATCAATACGTAATTTAACAAATTCATTCTTTAATTTAAAAATTCTGTCTGTAATTATTGATGCATCTACAAGTGCAGAGTGACGTTATTTTGGGTGAGCTCAGAACTACCCTCGTCTTAAATCTAAAATGCTTCGAAGCTTCTGATGGCCTCGATAATCTAATACCAAGTAAACACAACAAGCCTCGAGTAAAAACACTCCGTAAATTGCGCCACAGATAATACCCTCTTGCACATGTTTTTCCAGTTCAACTTTACATATAAAATATAACACTGGTTAGAAAGCATATGTCCCATTGCTCGTCAAAAATCAGATGTTCTTGTAAACTAACATTGTGAAAGTAAAGTTAGCTGTCGTACATTAAAAGCGGGCTACACATTAAACAAAAACAGGCCAAATACATAACATCAAATAAATAGCAGTAATATGTGTTTGGTAACATTACGTTACTTTGGGGTTATACCAGCCATTCTAAAGTTCACAGATTTGTCTTGCAAGTTGTGCACCAATTTAGAAGCTAGCTTGCGTGCTAGCTTGCGTGCTAGCTTGCGTGTAATTGTTTCGTTCTGACGAGATCAAGGTGATTGAAGTAGTTTATTAAAATCATTGATATTACGTTTACAAAATTAGCTGTGCGATGTTGTTATTAACGTTGTAAACATTTTTGGTGTTTTACATCCCGGCGCTGGTCTACAACACGGCCTACAACCTTGGCAGCAGCCTCCTTAAAAGCTGCTATTAGTATTAGCTAGCCACGCTAGCTTATAGCTAAAGTAGCATTTTTAGGTCAAAAAAATTTATATACTCACCCTGAGCGTTGGCTGCCATTGTGCAAATCCCAACCCCTTAAGGTTTACGGAAGCAGTGGGTGCATTTAATACTCAGAACGTGAACATTATGATAGTTAAAAAAACGGAGTACTCTGAAATAGCGTCTATACAGTAGCAGTCTCTCCCCACGACGACGGTACAAACATGGCAGAGAGGTTTGCGGCGATGATGTATTGGGGGCGTGGAGAGACAAGCAGGTCCTTCGATCTTTTTTTGCTGCATAGCCCCACTGGATGTACTTCTAACGGTAACAAGAACACATTGCATTAGGACAGATGCACAATTTATTTTTAATTCGCTTCTATTCAAGCCTATATGTGTAAACTGTTTAGAATGACCAAGAGGCGTTCCAGTGAAATGAATATATTGGCTGCTCAAACCACCCTATGTGTTCGTTTATTTATTTAGATGAATACTTTCAATATTTTTCAGAAGAATTTATACTTCGTGAGCTTATCAAGACTTATAATTCTTCCTGGGATATTAAGTAATATGCCAAATTTACTGGTTAAAACAGTGAATTGAAGGGAGATGACACAAGGTTTTCAACATTTTCTACCAATAGAGGTCTGAAACGTGGTGTGCATATTTATTCTGCCAACTTTATTAAAGGACTACAAGATTAAAAGCTTCAATCTTATACTCCTAAATGAGATCCAGAACAGCTAATTGCCATTGGCATTACCTACTATAGCCTACACATATTCCATAGGAAGAAAAGTGGGTTGAAGAAAATCACTTGTGAAACAAAGCCTTAAGAAGTTCTGTTTAAAGCTGGGCTTTCAACTCCAGTTTTCACAGGCATGTGACCAGCAGATTTTAAATTAATCCCTGGTTCAGCAGACCTGAATTAAATTCAATAGACTCCTGCAAATGACCTAATCATTTTTGAATTATTCCAAATAATTTGAAATCAGGTGTCTTGAAACAAAACCACATCTGTAATTTGCAGGATACAGGAAACCATTCAGGATAAGTTTGAGACTGTTACGCTAAAGTTTCACAAGCTATGTGGAAGACACCGGAAACAACTCAATTATCAAATAAAAGCAAAATCAACTTTTCCACTATGTGTGGTGGAAAACTCAAACTAAGCATCATCCTGAGCATCTTGAGCACATCATCCACACAGTGACACATAGCTGCAGGCTGTTCCTAGGCCAGGGACTGTAGTCAAAGTTAAGTTAAGATGTCTGGAGTTAAATATAAGGTAATGGAAGAAATAAAACAGTTGGAGGTGACACAATACTTGAGACTGAAACTAAACCAAGTAAATCAACTATTTCTTTCATTTTCAAGATGTGCAAAGTTGGCAGGAATATACCCATAAAAATATGTCATTCTTTCTTTCATTTCACCATTAGGTTTTACTTTGTGTTGCTCTATGACACAAATCTAATTGATAAAATACATACTTTGGTTGTAATCTGACAAAATGGATAAACATTTTAAAGTAATGAATGTTTTTGCAGGAGGTTTAGGGAGATGGCTGGGCTGGACAATAGCGCAGTTGGTAGCAATGTTGTCTTGCAGCAAGAAGGTCCTGGCCTCGATTCCCAGCCCAGGATCTTTCTGCAGAGTTTGCATGTTCTCCTGTGTATGCATGGGTTCTATCCAGGTACTCCGGGTTCCTCCCACAGTCCAAAAACATGACTGTTAGGTTAATTAGTCTCTCTAAATTCTCCCAAGGTGTGAGTGTGTGTATGCATTATTGTTTGTCCTATCTGCCTCTCTGTTTCCCTGTGACAGACTGGCAACCTTTATCCAACAGAATAAACTGGGTGGGACTGCTGTAAATGGAATTCTTGGTTTCCTTTTCAACCTGTTCCAACTTCAGATAAGTCAAAGTAAATAAAAGAAAACCAGTAATTTAATGAAAAATTTTGTCTTTATTCATTTTTATTATAATTAAGCATTTAAATCAAACAAACTCTATGATGTATTATTATCACTTGTATTATTATTTCTATTAAAAACAACACATTTAATTATTTTCATTTATGCTTACTCTTACAAATTGTTTAATAAGATGTTCTCAAACTATCATGAAATACACAAATAAATCATCCAGGTCATACACTGTAAAAAAGGAACCTCATGGGTTATCACATTAACAAAAGAATATCATGTACTGTTAACTAAATAATTCCATGTTTGAGCCATAAACATGATACAATCATGTTGCATAAACAAGATATTCCACAACTTCAACGTTTATAAAATTGAATCATGTTGAGAGAACATAATTCATTATAGTCAGACCGATCCTATGCTGAAGACCACGAGTGAGATCACGGGATATCACGCAAGATTACGGGAAATCACGGGATATCACGCGAGAATACGCGAGAAAATCGGTTTTCTCTCGCAAATGGAATAATATGTATTCAAGGTGAGATAACGTGATTCAATTACGTCAGCTAGATCTTCCGCCAAAAAAAAAAAGAACGTCGGGGCGTATTACATTAACAAAAGAATATCATGTACCGTTCACACAATAATATTGGGTTTGAAGCGAAAACGTGATAAAATCATGTTGGATAAACAAGATATTCCACGACTTCACATTTATAAAATTGAATCATGTTGAGCTAACATGATTCATTATAGTCAGACTGATATTGTGCTGACGACAACGAGTGAGATCACGGGATATCACGCGAGAACACGCGAGAAAATCGGTTTTTTTCTCTCAACTGGACTAACGTGATTGAATGACGTTATCTCAACTTGAATACATCTAATTAACATATATATACCCACCGCGGGTGGTTCTTATCCTCTGAGCTCGGGTCCTCTACCAGAGGCCTGGGAGCTTGAGGGTCCTGCGCAGTATATATATATATTGGATTATCCATTATTACAGACTTGAGCTTTCTATTTTTTTCTTTAAATTGTAGCTCATATATATATATATATATATATATATATATATATATATATATATATATATATATATATATATATATATATATATATATATATATATATATATATATATATATATATATATATATATATATTATTATTATCCATTCGTCATTCAATCACGTTTATATATATATATATATATATATATATATATATATATATATATATATATATATATATATATATATATATATATATATATATATATATGTTTTTGGGGTTTTTTTTTTTCCATATCAATATTTGTCAAAGTTAATCTAATAAAAAAAAAACACAGTGACGTCAGTTCCAAAGCGCTATTGTGTCAGACTCATCTCCCGCTGAAGAGGATCCAGGTCAAGAGATTACGGAAATCACGCGAGATAACTGTCTTGCACCTTGTTGGGTTTTTTCAAGGGCAGAGGGGAGATTCCTGGCGTGCATCCACTTAATTTGAAGAAGGTAAGAGTCAAACTATTTTCATCTAAATCCATATAAAAATATGTAACTTAAAATGTCTCTACATTTGCACCATTTTCTACTTGTTCCATACTTGTGTCACATTATTTCATGTTCTGTAGATTAAGTCGGTTAGGTTAAGGCAGATAGCTATATGTGATATCATTGGTAAGTTTACATTTATCGCCGCACCATTTTAGGTACATTCTGTGCGAAAAAAGTCTGCAGAGCCATATGTAGTGTACAAAGCTGCTGCCAGAGACACAAATGGACCCCAGAAATGTCACAGTTTTGCTCCTCCTGAGCTCCCTGGAGGTTTAGTGGATTTTTAACACACGGATCTAACATCAGTCTATTTCTAACTATTTAATTCTATTTCAGTAATGTTACTATGGAGGTAAATGTAGATACACACACTTTGGTACCTTTCTATCATCATCGAGATTCTTAATTAATTATGGTAATAAAAAGTCCTACATTTCAGTCGGTGAAACCTGCAGAAAGCATTGCTTTCTGAGCTTTGTTAAATGTTCCTTAAATACCTGTTAGTTATGGATTTCTAGTATATTTTGTCAGGCTAAAACTCTCAATGGATTATCCATTATTACAGACTTGAGCTTTCTAATTTTTTTCTTTAAAATACATATTCCTCTGCTGTAAAGATGTTGGGTTTTTTTTTGGACTCTTCTTTGTTGTCCCCAAATAATTGTAGCTCAGAAACAATATTGAAGTTCATTGGTTTAATTTTGAAATGTTGACGTTTTTTGTGTTCATTGTATGTGCTCATTTTGACCTATGTTACTATTGCTTTCTATCATGTTCAATTCACCATTGTTCTGCACATATGTGCTTGCATACAAGTGTCCAGTGGTTATATTCATGAGGCATTCAAGGGACTTGTACTAAAAGATACAACTCAGTTCAGTATGAATTGCATATTTTAATGGCTGAAAATATATCTGATCTCTTTCAGAACATCACCTGATCACCTGTCTGTAATCCACCTGCTTAAGTTCTGGTCAAGGGGCTCATCGGCTATCAAATTATAGATTTCAGTGGCTAATAGTAAGTTTTGCCAGATCTAAAGTGACTGAATGTAGTGTTAGAGAGCTTATAAAGCTAGGGTTCAGCTAAACTTTTATTTGGCCAGTCTGTTTTATTTGTCTTTATTTGCGTGGGGATGTGGAAATGTAAGGAGTGTAGTCTCTCTCTGTCTCGTAGATATGACCTGTTAAAACATTTTACACTTAAACACCGGCATATGCGACGTTATCCATGCCCACACATAGACTGTCCATGTACTTGTAAGACATGGAATGCTTTGCATATTCATTTAAGTAGAAGGATATAGACTGTGTTGACCATTCTGTACTTTTCACATATTTCTTTGGTGATATATTCATGTCTTTATTTAAACATCTAACAGCTTCAGTTAGATGTTTAAATAAAATGTTAAACTCCATTTTAGTCATGGCACAATGAAGGGATACTAACAATTTTAAATATCTTTCAAACAGACTGCAAGCCACTGATCACTTTTGTTGTGACTTCCTTTGAATGTAGCTATGTTTTCAAGTGTGTGAACCTATACTGCTGGAGTTTTGAGATTGTTCTCTTTGTTTTTTGATCTGCATATTTAGGAAGACACTGCTGAGGTCAGACGAGAGTGCATCCTCAAAGGTCTGTGTGTACCTAAATGAAGATCCAGAGAAGCTGGTGAGGGAGTACATGGTATGTTAAATTCTCTTTGTGTTTACAATAGAACTCCTAAGAGTTGT